AGACAGACAGACAGACAGACAGACAGACAGACAGACAGACAGACAGACAGACAGACAGACAGACAGACAGACAGACAGACAGACAGACAGACAGATATAACCTTATAGTATGACATCTCTGGGGCTTTTTATTTTCTTACTGCACTCACTATCTATCCAGCAGCGCGCTTTGTTGATAAGTCTCCTTCAAGAGAACATTGACTATATGCGGTAGAGTAGTCACAGGTCATACTATTATGGTAGACTTTGGACAGTGCTTACTAATTTCTTGCCTTCCTTCCTTCCTTCCTTCCTCCCCGTCACCCCATACATAGAACCAGTGGTTCTGTATGGCGTATATCCACTATGGCGAGCTCGACGCAGAGTACAAGATAGCAACCATTATACAAGACCTATATCAAAGCCGCGCTCTATCTGCATATGTACACGTGGAGAGCCCCTTCCTTCGCTGCATCTCCTTTACAGTCCACAGTTCGATGGCAGCAGCAAGGGCATCGATCTGCGCATATGTGTTGCCTGCGTGCAGACACACTCTGATACGCTCGGTGCCAGTTGGGACTGTGGGTGGCACGACCGGTCTGACGACGAAGCCCGATTTCTGGCAGTGCGCGGCCAAGTTGCGGGGTTCTGAGGTGAGGATTGAGAAGATTGGGGACCTTGGACAGGATGCTGGGATGGTTAGAGGGAGGATACCGGTACCTTGTAAAGGGTGTTTGGTCACGAGTTGTTGGAGGAGCCTGTAGAATCTGGTTTGAAGGGCTTGAAGGTGGCGGCGCAGCTGAGAGGGTTAGATTTGTTTTGGTCCTACGAGGTGGTTGGTAGTGGTAGTGATGGCGAAACTTACTGCTTCGACTTTTCCACTACCTAGGAAATCGTAAGAGACTTTGATACTTATTAGAGATGGATATGACATTGATGTCGTGTATATCAAGGGACGAGCGTAGTTAATCAAATACTGTCTAACAGTTTGCGAGCATAAGATCATGGCTAGATGATGGTCAGTGGCAGGAGGTGCATATGATGTTGAGGTTACATACCACCTGCAGAGGCCATGGCCTTCCCAAAGGTATGCAATCGTGCAAACATGCGATCTTCGAGACCAAGCTGACAGACCAAGCCCTTCCCTAAAGGCCCTAGGACGCCTGTTGAATGTGCTTCGTCAATGATGATGTGGCAATTTTTGAACGGGAAGAGCTGGTCCACAAGGTCGATGATCTCTTGGAGCGGTGTTAAATCACCATCCATGCTATAGATGGCTTCAACAGCTAGAAAGACATCTCGGGAGCCTTGCTCAAGTAGCCTATCGGTTTTGATTGACCTCTCTAGAAGAGCCCTTAGATCTGTTACCGAGTTGTGCTTGAAAGGTAAACATGAAGATGCTCTTGACAGTCTCATGCCGTCATGGACTGAAGCATGGATATACGAATCATAAACGACGTAGTCTCCACACCGTGGCACGCATGCAAAGAATCCAGAATTCGCGTCGAAACCGGAATTGAAAAGAAGCCCTGCGGGTGCATTGTGGAAAAGGGCAACGTCACGCTCCAGATCCTGGGCCAAGCTCGAGTTACCATCCAGCAATCTCGAGCCTCCACTACCAAGTCTAAAGTCTCCTTGTGACTTTGAGAGCTCGTTGAAGAAGGCCGTATGTAGCGATTTGTTTGTTGATAATGAGAGGAAATCGTTGGATGAAAAGTCTGGAGCCCCTGGAGGCGCGACGGTTAATCTGCGTAGAAGAGATTGCGACTGCCGATGATCTAGTAATGATTGAAGCCTCTTCTCGACCGCAGTCTGCTCCATAACTCGAGTAACAGAAACGAGAAAGTGAATGATGATTCGCAATGTTTAGCATGCTGCTGCTCAAAAGGTTGGGCACTTTTGCTGCCCCGCGTACCTAGAAATCGCGCCAGGCGAGGGCTCAACCGGGGACACCCGTGGTTTGCATTCATTGCGTGCTTTGTTGAGGCAAATGTAATACATGGCGATGGTGTATTGATGGATAGGGATCTCCCTCTTGATGTACTTGGACAATTGCTCAAAGCTTGTTTTGACAAAGTTCAAGGTCACATTGGATGCCTTAGAGAATTGCCCGCAAGGCTAAAAGTTGCCTGAGATTTCAGGTTTGGCTTACGACGCTCCGAGCAAGACCGACCAACCCTTGAAACTCGAAAAGCCAGGATTGATAAATGGATCTGCCAAACCGCTTTAGGGCTCTTGGCTCTCAAGAAGCAGCCATTCCGAACTTCGATATCTTTTCGGTCCCCTTTCTTCAATTACGCCTTCTCCCTCGTCTGCCTTTTTGCCTGCCACGATCCCAGCCTCTCGTCGTACTGGCCGTACAAGCGATGCCCACCAAGTAGATGCGTTGTGCCTCGTTCCCTGATCCAGTCTGCAGCGTTCTCTGAGCCACCGCTACTTCGCTCTCACGTCGTCTGATACGAGTACAACGGCAGTCGCTTTGTACTACCTTCCATCACACACATTGCTTTTCTTACATCACCACCGTGACAGAATCGAACACTCGTCGCCGTCCTTCATCTTCCGCAAAAGCGCTTCTGGCCAGCAAAGCAGTCACCGTGGCGGACTCCAAAGAAACCCACGATTCTCAGCCCTCACGGCATCGTTCTTCAATAATGGCCGGCTCACAGCGCTATGTGCGCTACATTCTCCTAGCCTTCTTAGTAAGTGCATCAGCAATTCACAGCACCTAAATATCAACTCACAGGTCTAGTGCCTCACCATCGTCTACTTTTTCACATCCTCCGCCCCAATCAGAGGCACTCCCTTGACAAACGCATCAGATGTTATCAAAGAGCAAGAGGCCAATGCTGGAGGTAGCAGCAGTCAAGCGCATTTATCTCTCGACAAAGACACATACACTCAGCCCGGAACTTCACCGAATACTCCAAATACATTACCTTACGAAAGCGCTGAAGGACCTCGCATGAATGCTACATTTGTTACTTTGGCGCGGAACTCTGACATCTGGGAAATTGCAAAATCAATTCGCCATGTCGAGGACCGTTTCAATCGCAGGTACAACTACGATTGGGTATTCTTGAACGACCAGGAGTTTGACGACAACTTCAAAAAGATCACCACATCCTTGGTATCCGGGAAGACCAAGTATGGCACCATTCCTAAAGAACATTGGTCGTTCCCAGAGTGGATTGACCAGAGCAAAGCCGAGAAAGTCCGCGAGGACATGAAGGCCAAAAAGATCATCTACGGCGACTCCGTCAGCTACCGTCACATGTGTCGTTATGAGTCTGGTTTCTTCTTCCGTCACCCATTGATGCTTGACTATGAATGGTACTGGCGCGTTGAGCCAAGTGTTGAATTGTACTGCGATATCCACTATGACACATTCAAATTCATGGCAGACCACGGTAAGAAGTACAGCTTTGTCATCAGCTTGTATGAATACGTCGAAACCATCCCCACTTTGTGGGACAGCGTCAAGGGTTTTATGGCCAAGTTCCCTCAACATTTGGAGAAGGATAATACCATGGGCTTTGTCAGTGATGATGGGGGTAGTACCTACAACCATTGCCATTTCGTAAGTCAACCCTGGAATCTCCAAACTCGGAAACCAAGACTGATGGGACACAGTGGTCCAATTTCGAGATTGGAAATCTAAACTGGCTTCGCTCGCAAGCCTACATTGACTATTTTAACCACTTGGACAGAGACGGTGGCTTCTTCTACGAACGTTGGGGCGACGCCCCTGTCCACTCGATCGCCGCATCTCTGATGCTAAAGAAGGAGGAGATTCACTTCTTCAACGATATTGCCTACTATCACGTCCCATTCACACATTGTCCTACTGGTGAGGAGACGCGGTTAAAGCTGAAGTGCCATTGCAATCCAAAAGACAATTTCGATTGGAACGGATACTCTTGTAAGTCTGCTCGAAAACTGGTGCCCGAAATCCCGTTCTTACCAAAATATCAGGCACATCGCGTTTCTTTGATGTCAATGGAATGCAAAAACCAGAGGGGTATGAGAAGGAGCAACACTAGACAAGTCAGAAAGGTTGCACCGCATTACCATCGCATGTACCTCCCTATATCCCACTTCTCATCACATTGCGCAGCAGGTCGAAGTCTCACTGACTTGGGAATGTTCTACCTTTAAGATTCCCCTTGTCTGTCGCAGGTCGCATGCTCTCCGCCATTCGATTGACATCATTGCTCATCTTGACATGCATGGCGGCTATAGGTGCTTTCGCAGTGCTTCGCTTACTTTTGGGTCGTCAACGTGGTCGTTTCGAGAAACGGTGACATGATGACCTCGTTGTGCATGTTTCCATGTCCATTTTCGCAAATCTGTAATCGCATATCTGGCTCCTGGGGACGGCGTTATTTCTGGGCTCAGCAACACAGGCAATTCATGGCCTTGACGGCTTCGGGCCGTACCGTTGGACATGGATCCTGGTATTTTGTATATTCGGTTAAACAGGAAACTTTCATGTACATGATTCACTCCATTGTCAGGCTGACGATGAAATAGACTTATTGACCCACTTGCTGCGCATGATCGAAACCTGGAAGAAGTCCGGACGTGTGTACCTGAGGCATGAATGTTAACACCGAACTGTCATGCACCTTCTCTCTACCTTTTTTCCGATTAATAGAAAAGGTCACATGATGCCTATATGTTCATATGGACTTCTCTCATATTGTTACTTCGCATATCTTACCTAAAAGAGACAAAGGACAACTGCGATTCCATGGTCACGATGCTGCATCGACCGGCATCAACCCGCTAGGGCGCATGACTAGTAAACCGAAGTCCAGGGTTCCCCAGCCGCTTAAGAGCACTAGCCGACGCATCGTCATTTTTGCCCACGACTCAGGAACGGAAACGGACCTGACTGGTGGTACCCGAGGCTGGTACAGATGATTGTAGACAAACGACGTCTGAGCTTTGCAATTTCAACCGGCCTTACTTGACTCGAAATATGCTTTACTGCTACTTAGTATTGCCTCTCGGTGCGGGGTTTCACGGCAATCGGCCTCTGTCACTGCATGGATGCGTGTGGGCATTGGCGGCGCCTCCATGTCCTCCACGCCTCATCCATGCGTTCTGTCGTGTCAAGGCGCTGACCAGAATCACTCTTTCGTAACCTTTGTGTTTGACCTGACACTCCCCCGCCGCATTTCTCCGCGATCCAGTCTTGTTGATACCTGATGGCTGGTAAGTAACCTGCAAACATATGCTTGAACGATTCCGTTGATATTCATACATAGCCTCATCCGCCCTCGTAGGCGCAACGGCCCTTACGGCTGCAGCTGCCTATGTCAATGCGAAATATCACATTGCAAGCGACTTAGCACTGGCACCGCTTTCTCCGACACATCGCAGTGTGGTGAAGTTCATCGAAACACGTGCCAAAGAGCAACGACTATTTACGTTCCATATCTTCGAGGAACAGGCTCGCAATCATGGTGACCGACTTTTCCTCATTTTCGAGGGAAAATCGTGGACCTACAAACAGTTCTACGACAGGATAATCAAGGCTGCCAATTGGCTGCTCAATGACCTCAATGTGCAGAAGGATGAAGTCGTCGCAATATATGGCGTCAACACTCCCGAATATATCTTGCTATGGATGGCGCTCGAATGTATTGGAGGTGCGCCGAGCTTCCTCAACTGCAACTTAACTGGTCATGGGCTCCTCCATTGCGTTAAGGTAGGTCTACATTGTTCAAAGCCTTTAACAATGTTCAATGGCTAACTTCGAAACTCAGCTCTGTGGCACTCGTTACGTCTTATATGACTCGGAATCATATCGCAATATTAATACTTGTGCAAAAGATTTTGATGACATCAAGGTGGGCTAGGTGCGACAAATCTGCATAAATGTCCACTAAATTCATTTGCAGGTCACATTGCACTTGTACGGTCCCCAATTAATTGACAGCCTGAAAATCATGGCTCCTGTGCCGAAAGAACGACAGATTCCTGGAAGCTTGAATGATATTCGAGGCCTGCTGTACACAAGTGGAACTACGGGACTGCCCAAAGCCACGAGAGTGACAGTACAACGTGAATTAATGACTGGCTATATTATGGCCCGCTACCTTAAACTGAAACCCGGTGAGCGCATGTTCACCTGCCTTCCATTATACCATGGGACTGGTCATGGCTTGTGTGTGACTCCATCGATTCATGGTGGATCTACGATCGTCCTCAGTCGCAAATTCTCACATAAAACATTCTGGCCGGAAGTTAGAGAGTCAAAAGCTACTATATTACAGTACGTCGGCGAGCTATGCCGATATCTAGTAAATGCTCCACCGTCGCCGCTTGATTGTCAAAACAGTGTCAAGATGGCGTGGGGCAACGGGATGCGTCCTGACGTGTGGGAGCCATTCCGTCAGAGATTTGGCATCGAGACCATCAATGAACTGTATGCTGCCACGGATTCCTTGGGCAAATCATCACTGAATGCAAATCGAGGCGAGTTCTCCAGATACGCTGTGGGTGTCCGAGGTCTCATTTTCAAACTCATGGCTGGAAGTGGTGTTAAAAGGATCAAGATAGACATGGACACTCAGGAGATCATAAAAGATGAAGCCGGACGTCCTGTCGTTGTTGGTGTAAACGAGCCTGGCGAAGAGATATATCGGATGGATACATCAACTCCATTGCAAGAAGTGTATCACCAAAATAAAGAAGCTATGGAAAAGAGGCTGCTGCGCGATGCTTTTAAGCGGGGAGACGTGTAAGTGCTGATATAGGATCATGACTACACCTCAAAGCTGACCCGCCATGCACAGATGGTACAGATCTGGGGATCTGCTGCGACAGGACAAAGATGGTCGTGTGTATTTTGTAGATCGACTGGGCGACACTTTCCGCTGGCGCAGCGAAAATGTATCAACCAATGAAGTCAGCGACATTGTCGGAACATTCAGCCAAATCGACGAATCGAATGTCGTGGGAGTGGAAGTGCCAAAGGCAGATGGCCGTTGTGGTCTTGCGGCCGTCGTTCTCAAACCTGGAGTGACGGCTGACAAGGTGGACTTTAGGGGATTGGCACAGCACTGTTTAACGCAGCTCCCTCGCTACGCCGTGCCTGGATTCATCAGGGTCACAAAGCTGATTGAGTACACCGGGACGTTCAAGATTCAAAAGGGAAAGATAAGACGCGAGGGCATTGATCCCGCCAAAGTCACGGGAGACGATGTGATGTACTGGCTTCCATACGAAGGAGACACGTACATTCCGTTCCGAAACGAAGACTACGAGGCGCTGAAGACGGGCAAAGCACGCATATGAGCCAGCATACTCCATGGCCGAAGGCGGATAGCGAGATGATCGGATATACGACCGGCAGACCAAAGTGGGCGTGATTAGTCCTTATTCCCGGCATGTGGTGCCACGCGTTAATTTTTAATACCACAATCAATCATTAGGCCCTCTTCAATTCGGCTGAATGATCCCAGTCAATTTTGCTACTGACACAGGCCGGACCGTTCCCTAACGCAAAACCCCCATGGATGTTGGGGGACTTAATAACTTTTAGCCTGCAATTGGCCAGACCTAGCAGCAGATGTAGAATAGCTCCTCCAGTCTTTAGCGCTCCCCGCCATCCATGAACACCGAGTCCTATGCTCCAGAACTCAACAAACAATCATATCCCTCAATCGTGTCCTATTTCCGTTCTTCTCCATTCCTTTGATTCCTTCGCGCAAATAGCTATGGCTTCACGTCACGGCCTACGATCATTACAGCGTGTGACCTTTCAACACCCCGGCTTGATCGTCGCACCTAGGACCTTCTCCACAGTTCACGATGTCCCCGCCACGCCGTTTTCCAGCAAACCTCCTACAGAACCACCTGCCCCGCCCACTGCCGAAAGGACAGGGCAATTGGCCAAGGCGTTGAATGCAATCGCACCGAGAAATGACTGGACGAAGGAGGAAATTCAAGAGGTCTATGAGACGCCTCTCATGGAGCTCATCAGTGCTGCTGTGAGTTGGCATGGACCCTGGTCTGTGTGCATTTAGTGTTCAATGGCCCATCGTCTATAACCAATGCACAAGCACACACACGCATATGCTTCAGACTGACTCAGTAACAGAGCCAAATACACAAGCGCTTCCATCCACCCTCGGCCATTCAACTCTGCACTCTCATGAACATCAAGACTGGTGGCTGTTCTGAAGACTGCTCCTACTGCGCACAATCCTCCCGATACTCCACCGGTCTCAAAGCAACCAAGCTCTCCCCCGTTGAAGAAGTTCTTGCTGCGGCCCGCATCGCCAAAGCCAACGGCTCGAACCGCTTTTGCATGGGCGCCGCATGGCGTGACATGCGCGGGCGCAAGACAAACCTCAAGAACATAAAAGCCATGGTGACGGGTGTGCGCGAGCTCGGCATGGAAGCCTGCGTGACGCTCGGCATGATCGACGCCGCGCAAGCCAAAGAGCTGAAAGATGCCGGTTTGACGGCGTACAACCACAACGTAGACACGAGCCGCGAGCACTACCCGAGCGTCATTACAACGCGCAGCTACGACGAGCGGCTGGCGACGATTCAGCATGTTGCGGACGCGGGCATACATGTATGTACGGGTGGTATCTTGGGCTTGGGCGAGAATAAGAAAGACCATATCGGGCTGGTGTATACGCTGGCGACGCTGCCTGCGCATCCGGAGAGTGTGCCTATCAACACGCTGGTTCCGATCAAGGGCACGCCGCTGGGCGATACGAAGCCGATTGCGTTCGACGCGGTGGTGCGCACGATTGCGACGGCGCGAGTGTGCATGCCCGGCAGCATTGTGCGGCTAGCTGCCGGACGAGTCGTGATGAGCGAGGAGAAGCAGATGCTATGCTTCATGGCTGGCGCGAATGCAGTGTTCACGGGGGAGAAGATGTTGACGACGGATTGCAATGGTTGGGATGAGGACAAGGCTATGTTCGATAGGTGGGGGCTGCGCCCCATGGAGAGCGAGGAATTGAAACCGGAAAGGAAGACTTTGAAAGTCGAGAGCGCATCAGCAGCGGAGACAAGTGCTGAGCCAGCCTCTGTGGCGGCATGAAGGCACAGTGCATGATGCTTGTAGATATGTGCATATATGGACTTCGGGATATGGTGCCTTACATGAATCTAGGGGTCGCATGGGATGGTAATGCCCTAGGATATATAAAAAGCACACAGAGGAAATCAAAGCACCTAACGCGACCTTGCATGTCCGACCTGATAGACGCACGGTAACCCACCCTACAGAGTAATTATACTCACAGCCGGTTCAGGGCTAGCGCTGTAGTCGAGCAGTGATTGGATGACGTTCAGGGTCCTCGAGTCATCTCGATCCCCATAAGTTTCATCATCCTCGCAGCCACATTTCTCAGCCTCGCCCAGTGACATGTCTTGCCGTCGTGGATCTACAGAGCCGCTTCCATGGACTATTGCCGCTGCTCCCTCGCCTCAGCGGCGCTCTTTTGCACTGCCGCAGTTCCGCAAAACCTGAGACGGCAATTCGGACGCGAAAGAGCTGCTTGGGATCACGGCTGCGATCGTGTCTAGTCTGATAGATGCAGAGTCGCCAGGATAGGCTAATGAGGGGTTTAATCTGCATGCACGGTGTCTTGGGATGAACATCCACATCACCGGCAATGTCATTGAACAACGTGTTTGTAAGCGATAAAGGACAGCCGAAGGTTTTGTGTGGTCGAGACCAATTTATAGACGATGATCAAGATGCCTATTCTGGCATCCCCAGTCAAACACTTCCAGGTTCCCTGTAGTTTCCCTTGGAACTGATCGACACTGCCACCACGTCATACCTAGATACAAAGCTTAATAAGTATCATCATTTCCTGTCTACGTCTTGTCCCTTATTCATAACCAGGACATGAGAATCAGATAGATTTGCTTCAATCCATCCATCAACATGTATTCATTCAGTATCTTCTTAACAGCAGCAACATTGGCATCAGCCCAGAGCAAAGGCTTTAACTATGGCAACCTCTTCACCAACGGCGCCCCGAAACAACAAGCCGATTTCGAAAATGAGTTCAACCTCGCAAAGAACCTCCCAAATGCCCCCGGCTTCAATAGTGCTCGACTCTTCACCATGATTCAAGGCGGCACGCCAAACACGCCTATATCCGCTATTCAAGCCGCCCTCAACACCGACACACAGCTTCTGCTCGGCCTCTGGGCATCCGCAGGCCCGGAGAGTTTCAACAATGAGCTAGCCGCGCTCTCAGCCGCCGTTCAGCAATACGGCACCGCATTCACAGACAAGGTCGTCGGCATCTCAGTAGGAAGCGAAGACCTGTACAGAAACTCACCCACCGGAATCGCCGCAAAATCGGGCCCGGGCGCCAACCCACAGGACCTCGTCAACTACATCGGCCAAGTGCGCAATCTCATCGCCGGCAACGCCCTCAACGGCAAGCCCGTCGGCCACGTCGACACCTGGAACGACTACGTCAACGGCTCCAACTCCGCCGTGATAGCTAATATCGACTTCCTCGGCGTGGATGCGTACCCCTACTATGAAAGCTCGAAATCAAACGCCATTGACAACTCCCACCAGCTCTTCGAAGACGCATTCAACGCCGTCAAGGGCGTTGCCCAGGGTAAGCCGGTCTGGATCACCGAGACGGGCTGGCCGGTCAGCGGGCCTCAATCTGGCGCCGCTGTCGCAAACGTGGACAACGCGAAACGCTACTGGGATGAGACGGCGTGCTCGCTCTTTGGAAACACGAACTTTTGGTACTTTACCGTGCAGGATGCCGTTCCTGGGACGCCGAGCCCGAGTTTTGGTATTGTGGGGAGTGGTGGGGGCGCGCCTTTGTTCGACTTGTCTTGTCCTGCCTAGATAGGACTACTTGTACTACTTCAGATAACTTGGTATTGCTGCGATTTGCATATCGGCGTTTCTGATTTGTAGACTATGAAGTGACTCGGACTCCAAGCCAAGCCGTCTTGCACGACGGAAGACGTCACATGTACTAGAATAGCATCATAAAAACCAGTATTGGGCATAAAATCCATTAGCAAGGGTCACCTTGCCAATAGTAAGACACCTATAGTTTCATACTACCTCTTTAATAACTCCGTGGTGCATGATCCTAGCATAGTGAACTAAGTCTATTGTAGTGCATCTGAGAACATTAAAGAACATGAATTTAGTAGGTGAATTGAACTCTAATATTAGATATCGATCTTAGTATTATTATGAAAAGTAGAAGTATGATTCTACTTGTAATTCTACTTATGTAACACTATTTATTTCGAAGGTGTTATAGTAGTGTTATATCTAAGAAAACGTTTAGTTACAGAGTTTGATGGTATAGATCACATAAATAGGAAGGAGATTATGGCCTACATGGTATGTAGATCTTACTCTTCTCACTATTACTATACTGGTAGAACTGGGAGGGTGTATGGCGCAAATGAAGTAAGTGAGTAATGGAAAAAGGGCGGAGGATTATGGCAAGTTTCGTTGCTGTACTATTTCACGGACGGAGGAACATAGGTCACACATTTGAACATGTTCACAGGTGGACATTCTATCATCTCCTTTCGAACTCCCGAATTTCTAACTTCATAGAATCGCGAATGCGCTGCAGTAGCTCACACTACTGTCCGAATACGTATCGACGAGACTGCTCCGCTCGTATCGAACGAATTTGAACTTCCCTTTGCCGCTACCCACCATTCCTTGCTTGTCCAGTGCTTCAATCGCTGCCATGATGACACCAATCGGATGTCTTCCGCACACTGTGTTGTTTGTCTCGTCAAGGATGTCTTGGAAGTTGTCATGGGACCCTGTTTCTACAGCGTCCATGCACCATTGGTCTACGAGCTTGATACTCTCATGTATGGGGAATGTCTTTGAGATCTGATCTCGGGGTCCCAGATTCTTTGGTGAACCACTTTCAGGGACGTAGTACGTGTATCGAAACCGCGAACCCCAGTGACAGAAGTCTGAGCTGATTACGAATATCGAGGTTGGATCGGCCAAGTAAGGGGCAAGAACCTCGCCAAAGCGTTTCTCGGTGGAAGAGGTGGTGGCTCCCACGAGTATTGGTATGAGAGGTGGGAAAGCAGCGGGATTGGAGAACTTCCTGCTGGATATGAGCCTTAGCTACAACAACATGTTAGGAAGCATACGTTGAGAGCATCTTGTAGATGTATGGTAGGTGCATTTCCAAGCTATGCTCTGCCTCGTCTTTAGACTGTGACATCTTCTCGAATGCACCAGTCTGCTCTAGTTCTTTCACGGTGGCTAGGTCAATCTTTAGATCTCCCAGCGGAGTCTCATATGTATCGCATCTTGAGAGGGCACAAGTCGTGAGATAATAGTGGTGAGAAGGACCAAGTAGGAAGACACGTTTACTACGTCAGTCAGCACCCACATAGAGCCAATATGTGACTATGGTCGCTACCCACACATTGGACAAGTCGAGTGACTTGTATGCCCATGCCGCCGCAGGCCCAGAGTAAGAGAAACCGGCGTGCCTACGAGGACATGAGCTCCAGCCATAGTTCGCACAGTCCAACCCAGGCCCTACGGTGCAATGATAGCTCTGGCCCCAGTCGATGGGATCTGCAATGAGCCTTCTGTTGACGAGTGAGCGCCGATACCTGACGTGGCCGTAGGCACCTGGTCAAGCCAGCCGCTCAGCTGGCGATCAAGCTGGGGTCCATTGTCCGTGTACCACGAGCCTGCGTGGGTTGCTTCACGAGATGGCATTGTAGTAGAAAGGTGTCCTGATTATAGAGTCTATGGGGAGGTAGGAAGAAGGGTGCATGCAGGACAGTGAAATGTATGGAGTGATAGCTGATAGCTATCCGTCGTGCTGCCCCGCGGACTCCCGGCCGCCCCGCATCAGGCTGAATGACGCCGCATATGGTGTATATTCCAGGATCTCGGCGCATATATAGGTCTATCCACACAACATTTTCCCGAGGTCCTTTTCGCAACTCGTCAAGTAATGCTTTGACGATCTCAAAGGATCATTGATATCATTATAGACAGTATGGTACACATTCCATAACGCCGGATCAGCCTATTGTGAAAAAAAAAAGCTCCGGAAGTTGGCTTGAGGTCATACTCGAAGCCAAATAAAGATCAAGTTGCGCGCTCCACTCCTCGCGCAATCGCGTCCTCTATCTGTTCACGCGTGGCCAAATCGAACCTTTCTCCATCGTAACAACCTAAACCTCCACGGGCCTCCTGGCCAGGCCAATACTCGTTGTATAGGTTTCTTCGAACGTATAACGCCATTTCACATCTTTCATTCATTGGAATGCAGTAGTTGGGGTCGCCTCTGCAGTGCGCGCAGCCGAGCTTGAACTCGCGTACGTCCCTGAAGAGCCACGCGAGACTCGAATCTTTGGCCTCCTGGTTACTTCGCTTGTACAGCTTTTCAAAGTGTGGAAACAGGTCACTTTGTTGTAAGCGACAGGCAAGTGGTGCGTCTTTCGTCATACAGCTCCGGCACAGTTTCATCCATACTTTCGCGACTTGATTCAGGTTTGCGTTGCCAGTATAGACAGGATGCGTTACAACTCGCGCCCCGGTGAATGACAGGTAGGTGCTCAGGCCTGGGACGAGATCTGCCATACCAGCGACTGCATCTTGGACATCGGCTTGCGATATTTCCTCGACGCGTGCGCGCAAGGATTCGGGATTGCGCTTCTCGTGGATTATGCTGTTTTCTGGGGACAATTGGGTTTCTCGAGATGACGCTGCCATCTTATATTTGAAAGTTTGACAGTCGAAGGTCCGTGGGTGTGTATCGCGGTCTGAAAGGAATCCTGCATGCTGGCTCTACTTCTTATATGTAAGCTTTTCCTCTAGGCACCCATAAGGCCATCCATTACAAGCTTACCTCTAGTCTGAGGCTGAGGGGCCCGCAGTGTGTGTTCATTGGCCAGTTAGGGCTCAAACAGGTAATTCAGCTGTCCGCTGTCGAACTTCCTACACTAAAACGATGACGGACAACGTCTTAGCGTACTCGAGCAGGCACCAACATTATGCGCAATTACACCTGGGAACAAAGAGAAGTATTTCAATTTAGATTGGGCTAATACTGTTCCAGCATTGCTAACCGCAACATGTGAAGACATATTATTCTCGTAGACAAGCCATCAATAGTTGTGTGTTACATGCTCCTCTACCAAGAGATTTCTTCATGAGTCATGATATCAATAAGTTTCGCACCTTCTCTCTCTCGTTGTGCAGAGTCGATCACCTCGAGCAACTTGGCAGCACTTTCTTTCGCAGTAGTAGCGGGCATGTCTATGCCAGCACCCTTCGCAGCCGCAACACCCATATCTGTCGATACAAATCTATAGAAAGGACTTTAGCAGTATATCGTTACATGATGATATAGATCACTCACCCAGGATGAACAGCGAAAGCTGTCAGAGATTCGTACGAGTGGTGTAGCGTTCTAGAGATGTAGGTTAGTCCGACTCATATCTCAGTCCACTTATGACTCCAAATTGACTTACGCAGTGAACCAGTCCTGAGCAGCTTTGGACATGCCGTAGGCGCTCGCATATTGGTAGAAACTCGCCGCCTGTCCGATAGAGCCGACACGACTCGAGATCGAAACCCATTTCGGAGCTTCCGACTTGGATAGTAGCCTATTCGCAGCCTGGAACAGCAAAACTGAGGCGACAGCGTTGACCTTGAAAGCCTGTATCAAATCCTCGGGATCGGCAAGGTCAAGAGGTGCTGGAGCGGGAGAGATGCCGGCATTAGAGACGACAATATCGATGTGCGCGATACCGGCAGCCTCCATGTCTTCGACCGCCCTCTTTGGGTCTGAGGTGGACGTACTTTCAATGCTGACGAGCAAGAGCCGCGAACCGGTAGCCACAGGAAGATTCTTGAGATCTTCTGTTCTTGGGGTGTCGGTTTTGCGCACACTGCCAATGACAGTATGGTTCGGACGCGAGAGATATGCTGCCACTATTGCGTGGCCAATGCCTGTGTGCATTTCTTGTGAGTATCTAACCCACAAATGATCCTTAGCCATATAGGACAGTCTATGTACCTCTACTAGCACCAGTGACGATTACAACTGTTGAAGAAGGCATGTTGTGAGTGTTTGTATCAAGATTTGTGCTTTTTGATTTGCTATGAATGTGTTTGAGAGATCAAGGATTGAGGGTAAAGCAAAGGGATCGCAAGTACTGCCATGCATGATAACCTTGGTAAGAGGGTTCATATAAAGACTCCAAGATTCACATCTGATTTCTAAGACAGCGTACTACATCGTCCACATGGTTCAGATGCATCATGCTCAGCGATTGAACTGCTTAGACACTGCAACATGGCAATTAATCATGAAGCAGGTTACGATATTTCATGTACCATCATTCTTGGCCAGATGCGTGTGAGCATGCTTATCCGCATTGCTTACTCCTAGTAGAGGTCGTGCTAGTACATAAGCGGCACGAAGTATAAGCTTGCTTGGCGTATTATGGCTTACATGCTTACCAATGCCTCATGACAAAACCTTGGGAGCCGACAAGATAGTGAGTGGGGGAAATTTTGAACTTACCTTTGTGGAGTAGAGATACGACTCGATGAATAACGTGGTCAAATCCATGATGGACCTTGAAGTAGACTTCGAGAAGAGTAAGCAACATCGCTTACGCTTTCTTAGCAATTTCAGTAGTACCACACTACGTTATGGCTCCAGAAAACAATCACGGCCATGATACTGAAGTCATTTCCTTGAGGAATGTCCGCCCGGCAGTCTCGTCTCGCCGCAGACTACAGAATAGAGAAGCTCAGCGCAGATATCGAGGTCTGTAATCGCTTCCATTGGTTGAACCACATCTTACTGACCCCTTACTGCGCAGAAAAGACTGGAAGGAGAAATCCGGTAGTGCAGCGTCCACGTACTGAAGCAGAACGTGACATAACACCAAATATTCGGTCTGAACGAGGCTCTAAAGTGCTTGCAAAGACCCGAACTGGGGATCAACGGACTTACCCCCAGGAGCGGATACAGGTTCCTTCTGCTGCTTCAACTCCTACTAGTACGCCTGAGTCTATCCCTCTCTCTGACACAGGGCCATCTATCAGGAATACCTGTTCAGCACTCGACAAATATAGAACGGCTCCTGATACCACCGGAGAATCAAATCGCTGGCAAAGTCCACAACCAAACCCTTAGATACTTATAACACCCCCTAGTCAACAGGTCAGTCCCCCTTACCGGCTCGGCAACGGAGTAGGGCATTCCGATCCGCATTCGACACATGATGCAGACACGGAAGGGTCTGAAACACGAGAGCCAACGGAGCCCGTCTTGCACTTGGCCGTCCGCACCGGGAAGACCGCTATAGTTGGTATGCTTATCAGCTATGACGCAGCGAAATGGAGCGATCGTGACAGGAACGGCGCTACGGCATTACATATCGCTACAGAGCTAGGAGACGAACGTATGGTTGCATGTCTACTGCAGTTCGGTGCTGATACCACCGTACGTGATGATCGGGGACAGGATGTTCTTTATACAGCAGTATCGGCTGGGCATACGAGTATTGTAAAGCTCATTCTGGATAGGCGTAGGGCTGGCTACGATGCTCCATTTGTGTATGAGCCTGACTAAGTCTGTTATATAGTAAGATGTAGCCTGAGCCTTGCAAGGCACTTAGGGACTTGGATAGCGTATTCTGGTACATAGTATATGGCGATATATCTAGACATAGCGTCACATGATGATGAAAGCTCACCGATCGTAATAGAATGGTCTCATTGAACGTCAGACATAGATACCTCGTGGGAGAGCCTAATACTCGTTCCCTATTAGGCTTAGTTTGTGACGCTAGTAAACGCGTTCTCAGAACGCGATCCATTACACCATCATTCCGCTCGCTGGACGATGGTGTAGTACGTCCAGGTCACGCTTCGCCATGGACAAAAACTTTGAAATCACTGACTCGACCGATTGGCTCGACACCCCTCTATCGTCCTTCTCAGTGCTCGAGACCGCCTTACGATGTCAAGTGTGCAAAGACTTCTTTGATACACCCATGATTACGTCCTGCTCGCATACATTCTGCTCACTTTGCATACGGCGCTGTCTCGCCTCAGACGGGAAGTGTCCAGCGTGTCGAGCGAGTGACGACGCAAGTAAGCTGCGGCGTAATTGGACTGTGCAAGAGGTCGTGGATGGTTTCAGCGGCGCAAGACCGCAGGCACTAGAACTGGCGAGGAAAGAGAGCGAAGAGAAAGAGGATCAGGGCAAGGGGAGAAGGAAGCTGAAGAGGAAGATTGTCGACACTGATCTAGAAGAGCATACTTCGCCAAGGCGGAGCCAAAGGACGACAAGAAGTCAGGCATCGAGAACTGAAGTGACACCAGCGCATGCGGAGGCCATCAGCATAGAGGACTCGGATGCTACTGCGGAGGAAAGTGAAGATGAACAACCGGAGCCAGATGATGGTCTGGTGCCTTGTCCCATGTGCAGCAAGCGTATGAAAGAGGAGTCCGTGTTCGTGCATCTAGACCGCTGTGAAGAGGAGCAAAAACAGGACAAGAAGCGAGCAGCGCAAGTAAGGTTCGTACACCCATGACCGTTGGTCGCACTACTACCAGTATTGATATAAGCAGATTGTCCGAAACACGCTCGGCGCATACACTCCCACAACATAACTCAACCGCCCCGCAACGCCTCCCACAACTCAACTACTCCATCCTCAAAGACATAGCCCTTCGGAAAAAGCTCCAAGAGCTCGGAATCCCAGCATGGGGCCCAAAACAACTCCTCGCTCGCCGTCACACCGAGTGGATAAACCTTTGGAACTCGAATTGCGATTCAAGTCGACCGCGTAAAAAGAGCGAGCTGCTGAGAGAGCTGGACCAATGGGAAAGGAGCCAAGGAGGACATACACGCGACTCCGCGATACCGAGTGTGATGCGGAAAGACTTTGATGGGAAAAGCTGGGCTCAAGATAACAGTGATCAGTTCCAGTCATTGATAGCGGCTGCTAGAGCTAAGCGAAACCAGAAGAAAGAAGGGCAAGAGAGCAAAGACACGAATGGCGATACCGAGATGCTCGAAACTAGGACGGGCCCACCTAATGCAGCGAACACAGAGACGGCCACAAATAGTGATGATTCCAAGATCGCCCATGACGCCGATGAAGCCGCCGTAGTATCGCGCGTGATACCCGACGTTCAAGCGCTCTCCAGTATCAGGAATAAGGTTCAGGCTGCCAATGACGGCGTGTTGGTACAAGAGACCCCTGAGGACGCTTCTACTCGAATACTTTCCCTCAACGGTAACTCAGATCAGTCACAGCAGATGACTTCGGTTCCATCGCTTCACCCAGGAAGTTCGGAGTCTCTGGGTATGTCCCCAGTCAAGAAGATACCTATGTTCGCTATCCCAGAGGAGCCAGTGAAGGATATCGAAACGGAACAGGCCGCTCAATAGCGGCTATGAAGTTGACGCACCTGGAAGTATGTCGGAGTGTGCATAGCAAGTCTTGTTCTGCATGTGGCTCAGTATGGTCCTCCATTAGCATTTAGCGTTACATGTCTTAGTATTGCAATATGATCACGACTTCTCTGTTGCTGTGAAAGGCTCGATGTAAGCACTTTTGCAACAGACATACTCAACAAGATTGTGACCAGCACTTGCAACACAGCTCATTTCCCTCTATGCAAGATACAAATGACACGCCAACGTTCTCTGAACTTTTGTTAGAACGCCGAAGAATGCTGTGAGATTACTATGAACTATTTTTGTGCGGCATTCCGCATCTTGCGTGCCGCTCGCTTCTCATGCCGATTCCTAGCGATGATATGTTGGACGCCCTTGTCTGCAGAACCGTTGACCTTAGCAGCGTTGTTGACCGGTGCAGGAGTCTTCGGTTTAAGCTTCTTGTTACCAGTATCAGGCTTGTCACCTCGTTTCCGCTTCAAGTCCTTTCGTTCCGCTTTCCGGTCCTTGATACTACCTTTCTTATCCTTGAAGCCGCCTTTCTGAACCTTGGCCTCCTCGTTGACAGGATTCTCGGTGTCGCCTTTATCCTGTCCGTCTGAGCGGTGCTTAGCTTCTCGCTCCTGGCGGCGATGTACGACCTGGGCATTCTCAATAGCGAATTCAACGATAAGTCTCTTCTTGCGGTCCTGAAATTCCGCGTTGCCTTTCTTCTTCGGCTCCTGTGTCTTGTAACCGACTTCGTGGCCATTGAGCCATCGCAGACCCATGAGGGCGTTCCGATGCGTGTAGTATTCAATGAAACCATAACCGCGACTCCTGCCAGCACCACTTCTCTCATCCACTTTGCCGCCCTTTTCGCCCTCGAAGACAACTTTAGCTTGTTTTACAACACCGACTGCGCGCTTCTTGCGTTCTTTCTCTGCTTTCTTCATCTCCTCGCCTCCTCTGCTCAACTCCTCACGGGAAATCGGCTCTCGAAGGCCGGCTTTGACATCGGTTGCAAATCCAACTACTGCCTCACGAGCAAGCGCCTTCAGAGCCTTCGAGTCGATACTCCTGGGTATATTTCGAACAGCAAGACGGACAAAACTAATGTTCAAAGATGGGTTTGTTTGTAACAAGGTCTTTCTTTGCTTTACACTAGCGTCTCGCATGGCGATTTCGGTTGGTGATAGTTTTTGATACAGCGTAGATTTTGTCGAGATTGTCCCCTCGTTCAAGAGGAACAGTCTCCTCTTGTCTTTGTCGCGCGTGAGTCGCTTGTCAGCACCTTCTGTTTGCAGACGCTTTGCATCTTTCTGACTAACGGCTTGAGACAGGTGTAAAACTCTGCCATCCATCGTGTAGTGACCTGAAGTATCATTTTCCACATTCTGCAGCACTGATTTGGTGGCAGAGGGTCGTGAAACTTGGACGTCAATTTTTTCTTTTGGTGCTCTCTTCAGGCACTGTTGTGCGTCTTCTTCCTTGTAGAAACAAACAAACCCAGTGCCTTTCGGAACTCCTAGGTTATGGTCGATTACGATCCTAGCGTACCGCACAGCACCAAAAGTTCGGAAATGATCCTCGAGCGATTCATCTGTTGCAGAAAAAGGAAGGTTGCGTACGAAGAGAGTAGTCATCGGAGGCTCAGTTTCTGAAGCTTCATCTTCATCGTCCTCGTCCATGTCCTCGCCATCCTCTGCGAGGTTATCAATATCGGACAAAGAATTCTCCATGTCGTCGTCGACATCTTCGTCGATGACTGTGCCTTTCACATCGCTGCTGTCTGCTTCATCTTCATTCTGGTTGTTATCGTCATTGTCCTCCTCATCATCCTCGTCGTCGTCCTCAGCTTCGGTGTTGTGTTGCAGGTTCTGCCACGTTGATTTATCCACTGCCCAATCGACAGCCAAAGTACGCCCATCAACTTCCTTCCCCGAGAGTTTCTCAATTGCTGTCTGAGCATTCTTTCTCTTCTTCATGACCACGATGCCAAACCCCCTCAACTGATCTGTGCCTGGCTTTTTAGGAAGTATAGGTTCGTGCATAGCGCCATATGGCTGGAACAGTTTCTGTAGCTGTGCAGGGGTTTTGATACTCCATGGTAGATTTCGTATAATTAATCGTGGCGCGTTGTCTACCTTTGCAGGCTCTTTCGCAACAGCGACCCCGCTGGCCGGCCGGCTTGCATTCGGCGGCCCTTTCTCTTTACGCTGACGAGGCTCTGATACGTCTATTCTGATCTTTTTCCCATGTAATATATGGTCCTTGAATTCTTCCTTGGCTCTTTGCGCATCTTCTGCATCAGCGAAGGTAACGAAACCATAGCCACGGCACAATTGGGATGTGGGATCGACCACGGCGGTAGCATGCTTCAATGGAAATGATTGTGAGAAGAGCTCTGTGAGATCATCCGTAGTCGTCTCTGGCGCCAGACCTTTCACGAACAGTGACCTTCTTGGCTTTTCGACCTTCGCTTCGCCATTGGTAATGGGAGCATCACTCTCGGGAGCAATTTCTTTGGTGGGAGGAACAGCCACTCCGCCGTCCGAAAGCTTGAGTTTCTTACGATGAGGAGACATTATAAGACTTGGAGTGGTATGGAACACTATACGGCGATATGGCACAAGGAAAATGCAGCAAGTATTAGTCGCAATTTTCAATGTAAACGAGCTCCACCGAAATAACTTTTTATCTTGGCTGGCGCCTGAACGTTAAGGCGTGAAGATGCATTGGCTAGCTGTATTTAGACTAGATTCTGAAGCCCTCCATCCCATGCAAGCCTTGCAAGGCCCATATCCATCACAGCGACTTGAACTCCAACATCCATGGTCATAGCCTTGTGCCTGCCTTCGTCGACATGAACATCATGCTCAACGGAGTGCACGATATTGATGAGTGAAGATTTCACAAGTATACTGACTCCTAAGTTAAGGATGGCTGCCTAGGCCCAAGCCCCCACTGACACAAGCTTCAGCTGGCTTCTCATTAGACATTGATGCCTGCTGATTATTAAAAGAGGTAGGCCAAGTCGAGTTTCCTGATGCTATATCTTGAAGCACGCACCCTCTTTTCTGCATATCACCATTCTTCCAACTCTTTCTCACTCACGAATCTAAAATGGAGTCCTCGGGCTTTACGGATCGCCAAAAGCGCATCATCGGCGCTCTTCTCGGTGTCCATGCTGGAGACTCGCTTGGCGCAACTCTCGAATTCGTACGTTGGGAAGAAACTAAAGCGTTATTTCCCACTGGTCTCACCAGCATCATTGGTGGCGGTCATTTCGAGTGGGAGCCAGGTCATGCTACGGATGACACTGACCTAACAAGAGCAGTCCTACTCGCGTATTCCAAAAGGTCTACAGAGCGGAAATCCTACGTGGATGTTCTTGAAGCTGCTGCAGATAATATGCTCGACTGGGCAACAGGGCGTTGGCCTGGTCGCCAGCCAGGGTCCTCCCCGAAAGACATTGGTGGTGCCACATTCGTGGGACTCACGAGGTATCGACAAAGCATTGCGAGTGGTAGGAAAGATCCGCGAGGTTGTGGTTCAGGACAAGGCAGTGCAGGAAATGGCTCACTGATGCGCTGCATCCCCACCGCGCTCTTCGCCGCAAATGAGGAGGAACGTCTCCAACACTCGATCGATATATCAGCAGTTACACACGACGACATAAGGTGTACGATTGCATGTGCTGCATACAACACCATCGTCGCTCAGCTGATAGATGGTCAATCTCCTGCGACGGCAGTTGGTGAAGGAAAGGCTTGCGCCACAGTCCTGGCAGTGAAAACTACATCGAACAAAACCCACTTGAGACCCAACGCAGATGCTGTGGTGCGAGCCATCGAATTAGGGGAAAAGCTGAAACCTACAGAACTTGTTGAAGATGGTCCGGGCATATTGCCTGGCCGAGGCCGCGGCTTTGTGCTGGAGTCTCTGACATTGGCAATCGCAGCAGTATTGGACGATCGGCCTTTCAAGGAAGTCATTTGTGATATCGTAATGCTTGGTGCCGACTCAGATACAAACGCTGCCATCGCTGGGGGACTTCTGGGAGCCAGAGACGGCATCGACGCTATCCCTAAGGACTGGAGAGACGTATTACAGTTCGGTGAAGAATTCACTAGCATCGCCCTAGCGCTATCTTGACTCCGAAACGGATTGCAGCTTAGATTACTAGCTTTATTTGTCCAATGTAAACACTTTGCAATATGACAAACGATTCACAACACAAACTATTCCGCAAAATTTCGTCCTCTGCTGAACAGGCTCATGTTGAGGGTCGTAAGGGAAAGCGTCTATGGTGCAGTGATACTCGCACTTTCCAGGGCCAGGCTAACACAAGGTCTCCGACAACTCAAGAGATAGATAGCTACATAAATGTAGATATTTTGGTAGGTCGTAGCTATGATCACCAAACATGGCTTTCTTCACCCAGAATTACAGGACTGACGAGATCTGGCAGGTACGCAAACACGCAACTTCACAGAAACCTTGTGTAGACAACACTGTGGCATACATCACGAAAGTGTTTCACTTTACATAGCGTTCTTTGCTACTGCCGCCAGCTCAATTCTAACCGCTCTACTCTGCCATACCAAATATGCATCACATCTTCATGATCTCAAAGCCGAAAGTGCCGTTGCCGTACATATGGAGTCCACACAGCCTCGACAGTCTCCTATACCCGTCGACACTCTCGAACCAGAACGGACGCTCATTAGGCGCTTTATTAGCCCAGGAGATCGCTGCGCAAATGGCTGTCCTCGAAGTGAATATGCTGTAACCTACTTTACATGCCCAAAGACCTCTTGGATAGACGTCGAGACCGTTCGCGAGCTGGCGATTAAGATTGTCGGAGACGCGAATCTGATAGACGCCAGGCCGTATTCCATCGTCCCTTCCGGCATCCAGTTATGGTGTGATGGGCAACTCAAATATGCGGAGCGGCTGTTAGATGAGGATCTTGAGAGTGAATGGTCGTCAGAGTACTCCTCGAATGGTTCTGCAGAGGAAAGGTCCTTGCAGGAGTGTGAGGATAGGAATAGGGAGAGGGCTATAGCTGAGGACTTGGATATGGAAAATTGTGTGGAGGAAGGGGAGAAGGAGAAAGACGAAATAGAAGCGATAACAGGAGAAACAGGAGTTCATGGAGATGGTAAGGAAGAGGAAGAAGACGAAAATGAAAATGAAAGTGAACATGATCCAGATACAGACGATGAAGACGTTGAAGAAGTTGGCGGAGAAGACTACGATCCAGTCGCTTCATACAACGGCGATAACGGCCGACCAGATCCGAATATCTCACATGTTGTCGAACCCGACTCATCTGAAGACGAGTATCTCACCGACGCGTCAGACTCACGTTCAGATAGAACAATCACACCCTCGCCACCTTTAACTGGTATCATGCGTCTCGGCATGCCCGATGGAGTTGGCCTCCCAGATCCTATGACCGACTACTATGGTCTGCCACACCGTCCTGGACGAGTCCCAATCAGATACCGATATCACCCAGCAGAAGAGTTTCCTGGACTGCTAAATACCCGGAACGATGTACTAGAATTCGTGCCACATTTGATGAAAACTTACAACGATCGTACGCTACAAATTGTAGGGTTGAATGTCACTCACTTTAAGGTGTTCAACCGAAATGATCTCGTCACCATGCATACTTATGTACGTCAAGGCTGCAGAGACGGTGGTGACGGTATCCGAGGAATGAAGTACTATATACGCCAAGTACGCATGGAGACGGTGTATGAATACGTGAGGAACAATCCTGATCAACGATGGAAGTATGGAGGGGCACCGAGAAGGGATTTCTGGGACGCCTCTATTCTGGAGAATTGAATCTAGAATGCTGTGAAGGCTTATTGTGTCAAGTAGCCTGGAACATATCATCGAATTGTGTCGAGATAGCTCCAGAAGCCAGTTTCCGGTACTATAATAGCCAGCATATATTTTCAATCCATCACTTTGTTTCCTTTGTCAAAAGCTCCTCCGCCTCCTTATTTCGTGTACCCATGCTACCAGAACGTTCTGCGGCTTCGACTGGCTTACCAGCTTCGATTGGCGAGACTGATGGGCCGGTTGCTGCTGCTTTTTTCAGTCTCTCTGAGTCATCTGCTCGTGTGTCCTTTGCCTTCGTATCCTCGTCCTCGCTGTCGCCAAGGCTGAAAGGATCATGGTCGTCCCCTTCCGGATTGGGGGCGACAGATGTGAGAGGTTGCCATTTCTTCTTGTTGCCACCAGGCGATGGCTGTCTATTACCCATACGCTTCACATCGAAAGCTTCGACCTCATCAACAGGCCCCGATTGTGGCGGTGCAGGTGTAGGCTTAAAGAGATCAGGATTGGCATGAGGACGGCCAGGCCGGGGAGGCTGAGCTGGGGCTACGATTAATTAGCTAATTAAGGCGAACAGAAAGCTAAAAAAAATCTTACGATCGTTGTCCTGCATGCGTAAAGTCGTGAAGTCGTCGCTAATGATCTGAGGATCAGCGTCATATCGATCGCGGTCGCCGCTTTGTCGAGCTCGACGCTCAGCGTCCCTTTGAATACCATACAGCTGGTCGGATTGCGACGCGCCAAAATTTTGGCGTTGTGATGGACGCCCATCATACTCATCCTCGTCTTCGCCATCGATCTTCTTTTTAAAGTCCGTTATCCACTTGTTGACGTTCTTTTGGGTCTCAAGGAACCCCTTTCTGATGTTTTCGCCGATCTCGGGAAGGTCATCTTCATTCCGTCAGCGAGGCCATGATGAAACAAAATTTATGCCTACCGTCAAAAAAGCTCCGCTCTCGATCTTCTGGCTCTTGTCTCTGTGATCTAGCGTACGGTTGAGGGGCGCCTCTTGAGCGGGAACCTTGACCTTGGGCTTGATAATGTTCGGCTAGCTGACGTGCTAAACGTTCGTCTTCTTCTAGTTGCTTTTGTGCCGCGGTCGGACGTGGTGGTTGTTGGGGTGGTGCTTCTTCCTTGTAGTTTGGATCGCTCATGCCTGAAATGTTAGTTACACGTCGAAGGTTCGTATTTCCCGTCACAGACCAAGAAGAGCTTCGAAGGCGGGTTCCATTCTTCCACCACTCGCGTGCAAGACAGCCCTGACGACTTGGGCATCGACACTTGGGAAAGCTTCAATAAGAGTCGCTTCCGCCTGAGCTTTTGGACTCATCGGCCGTGGAGGCTTCGGTGGAGCAGCCTCTTCCTTAGCAGGAGGAACCGGAGCTGCAGGTGTCGCTGGCACTGAAGCATCTGGCGCATCATCATCGAAGTCAAGCTCCGCTCTGGTAGTTGGCGATTCAGCTCCACTCGTCTTCTGTGGCCGTCAGTCAGCCAACGGGGAGCTCAGGAGGGGCAACAGGGCTGCAATGCTTACAGGCTTCTCCATAGGTTTTTGGGCCATGTTGTACTTTCTAGACAGGACTGATGGATTCGTTGCTAAGCTGAGGAAATATGAGGAAGACGTAGGTGGGGGCACGTAGAAGACTGTAGAAAGCATGTACTGGGTTGTTGTTGTGAAGCTTTCAATCGTGCACCTCGCTTTGACTTTGACCTTTGAGTGGCTTAGACTGCGGGTCCACGCAGTCTTTCGTCATGGTCTATTCTATTCATGGATGGGTAGCCTGAGGCAGCACGCGTAAAAACTAGGCCTAAAACAACCAAGCACATCGATCTCCAACGGGTCTTCCAATGTGTTTTCATCACCTTTCCCAAAGAGTCGATCATCATATAATTTTCCAAAGGCCTAGCAGTATTGCTGATCAAGAAGACCATGCTTGATCGTGATACAAGCATATGCCATTGCACATCGTCATGACCGAACCTGAGATTGGCTCGTCTTTCATCCCCGCTCTTTTCAAGCCATCAGCTTTACTACCAATCGCCCAGCATAGAGATGTACTGTTGTATTTAATAGAGACGTTTCCTGTGACAGTAGTCGTTGGTCATACAGGTAGTGGAAAAACAACACAAATACCTCAATATCTACATCAAGCAGGATGGACTACAAATGGGAAACAGATCGCTGTCACTCAGGTGGGTAAGTCGCCTAAAATTTTATGCACTTGTAGCTCAATTTGACATGATGCATAGCCTCGGAGGGTAGCTGCAACGTCGGTTGCTATTCGTGTGGCTGAAGAGATGCGATGCGAACTTGGTCACGATGTACCGCCTAGTCCCAATAAATGCTCTGATACACAAATTGACCGACAACTTAGGTGGGTTATTCGATTCGCTTTGAGGATATGACATCCCAATCGACACGCATCAAGTTTCTGACCGATGGGATGCTACTCCGGGAGGCTCTTGTTGACCCTCTTCTCACCAAATATTCTGTTATTATGGTCGACGAAGCTCACGAGCGATCTCTCAGCTCAGATATGCTTCTTGGGATTCTGAAGAAGATTCGCAAGAAGAGACTAGACCTACGACTGATCATTAGTAGCGCAACCTTGGATGCTGAAAGCTTCTTGAACTTCTTCACGAATGACCTCCCTGTCACTGCAGCGGCAATGGTACCCGCGGCGGGGGCTGTGCCAGGTGGTGACTTGGGTAAAATAATCAGTCTCGAGGGCAAAAGTTATCAGGTTGATGTACAATACCTCGAGGAACCCTCGGAAGACTACGTTGAGACTGCGGTGCAGACAATCTATGACATACACAAGAACGAAAGTGAAGGTGATATTCTAGTTTTCCTTACAGGGAGAGAGGAAATCGAAAGAGTTGTCCAGAAGGTCGCTGAATACGCCGACACATTGAATCCAAACGCACCAGGATTATTACCTTGTCCTTTTTATGCTGGACTTCCGACTGATCAACAAATGTACGTCTTTGAGCCTACCCCTGACAATACCCGCAAAGTCATTGTGGCAACCAACATCGCGGAAGCCTCTGTGACCATCCCTGGTATCGCATACGTCATTGACTGTGGTTTCGTGAAACTGCGTGCTTATAACCCTACGACCGGTATTGACACACTCACTGCCACATCTATATCGAAAGCATCTGCCACCCAGCGTGCTGGTCGCGCCGGGCGCACTAAACCAGGAAAATGCTTCCGTCTATATACTGAAGCGTCCTACAACACCTTACCCGAGGCGACAGTCCCAGAGATCCAGCGCTCGAACCTCGCGCCCATAGTACTCCAGCTTAAAGCCCTAGGCATTGATAACATCGTTCGCTTCGATTTTATCACACCCCCACCTGCCGAGCTCATGTTGCGAGCATTTGAGCTGCTATACTCTCTGGGTGCTGTCGATGACTATGCAAAACTCACACGTCCTCTTGGCATGCGTATGGCTGAGCTCGCCGTCGAGCCCATGCTGGGCAAGGCTCTACTCTCAGCACCAGATTTCGGCGTGCTCAGTGAGATGCTCACTATTGCCGCGATGCTTAATCTACAAGGCGGGTGCTGGTTCTGGCATGAGGGTGAGAAAAAAGCGCATGAAACGGCACGGCGCAAATTTGCTGCGGACGAAGGTGATCATATCACGTTACTGAATGTGTACCATGCTTTCATTACCAAGGGAAAGAAGGATGCAAAATGGTGCCGGGACAACTACTTAAACTTCAAGGCGATGAGCCGTGCCGTGAGCGTCAGGAACCAATTGAGGAAGTATCTAGAGAAATTTGGAATCAATGTACAGGAGAGCCTTGGGCCTGAGGTTCTGACTGCAGGTGGCATTGGCAAGCCAGAAAAAATCCGGCGATGTCTGACCGCTGGCTACTTTGCCCAGTCAGCAAGAATGCAGCCGGACGGAACGTTCAGAACGGTTGACGGCGAGACGGTGCTGTATGCTCACCCAACGTCGTTGATGTTTGTGAGTGATCCTATTGATGCGCACTCATAATCTAATACTGATCTCTATCTAGAATCGTAAAGCCGACTGGGTCATCTTTCATGAGATCATGGAGACTGGTAGTAAGGTATATATTAGGGATGTCACGAAGATTGAAAAGAGCTGGTTAACAGAATATGCACCAGAATACTATCAGATAGAGAAAGCTCGGCAAATAATATAAGAACTCGAGTGGTATAATCTAAGCGTCTTCATGTATGTTGGCCCATCACGTTAGAGACCAATCTGCGGCTCTACGTACGCTCATGCATAGTCCATACACTACTTTAGTGCATCAATAAACAATTGCCTCATCTCCCGCAGAAAAGGTGCAAGCATTCTCCCACTCGACAATCTGTCCAGTGCACCTTCAACTGCTTCCTGCTCCAACTTCGGCCGATGTTGGATAATTCGATATTCCCGACTTCCAGTATCTAGCTCGAACCAGGCCTCAATACTGGGATCTTTTTCGTTTACACAAGTATACGTGAATTTGAGATGATCGCTATAACCCGCACCCTCAATCCGCAACCCCAGATGCGTCTCCCAGAAGTCCAGTTCCGGCTCGTTGTACCGCGACTCGCGCTCAAGATGCTTCTTGTGCGCAGCCTGTGCTTCACGTCGAGAACTGATCTGTGTCTGAATCTCGACAATCTGAGACTTCAGTGCGTCGCGAGCTGCGAGGCGTTCATCTCGTTGCGCTGTGAGCGCCGCGATAGCATGATTCATCTCATCGGTCTCCTGCGATTCTTTGGCAAGAGTTTGCGCATGGGTTGTTTGTTTGAGTGTGAGAATTTCGATGTCGCGTTTCTTCATGCGCTGGTCCTCTAGTTTTGAGTCAGTCGAAGCTGGATGGTATTACTGCCTGGCGGAGAACATACCTTGAAGTTCAGAGACGTTCATGCGGAATTTATTTCGTTCCTCGAGGACACGCTTGCGACCCAGCTCGATGAACGCGTCGAAGCGTTGTGTAAAACGCTGCATACGGTCTCGCAGGTCTTCGAAGCCAAATTGCACGCTCGGGAGGCTATCGGCCGTCGAGATTGCGTCTGCTCTATCGAAAGGTGGGCGAAGGGTGTTCGCACCCATTGATGAATCGAACGCAACAGCAGCCATAGTGGAATTTTGCTATTGATTGAAGGATTCGTCTTGCTGCCAAATGTAAGGATTGTCGAGAATGCAAGTCAACATAACGCCGAGTGATTGACGTTGTTGCTGTTGTTGTTGTTTATGTGGTCCGTGCTCGAGTTCTTTGCAGCCAGCAGCAACGCTAGCGTGCCAACACGTGCACGGGCTCAAGATTTTTCCAGCATGGGTCAAATAATTAACGCGAGGACCTTCACAGTTATTTTCAGTTCACTCGAACCTTTAGACGCTTCATAGGTTTTCGAATTTCGCACGTCTATCAACCCCAACGGACAAAATATGAAACTTGCAGCGCAGAGGATCTTGCGACAATTCCGGGAGCCAAATGGCTGAGACTACAAGTTCGTGCCGAAAGGCATATCAACATCAAGACGACATAACAGAGTCCAGAAAACTCACCCGAGCCGATGCTGCTCCCTTAAGTGTAGGCTATGGATATACTGGCGTTCCCTCCTATCAGGTTACAACTGGCAAATTCTCTTTCTCACGACTGCCAGGACATCAAAGGTCCTTGCGGATGCTGGGGCCGTTCCTGAGCAAAGATCTCCAGTTGGAACTTGCCAGTCGGGATGAGGAAATCCGCCACGAGGAGACTGTCCCACCATACCAATGGGCATCGAGACGGCATGGCCACGCCGTAAAAGCACTATACCGAGAAGTCCCAAATCTTGACTTCGACATGAGTCTAATGCAGGAACTACTCCAGGAGTCTGAGGCTGTCACCGAAGTGCAAGATGTTTATGATCCATTATATGGTGACTTATTCTGCTTTGGACAAGCCATCGATACTACCGTGCAGTGTGGTAGCTCTAGCATATGTGTTGTGCCCGGCGAACGCACTGGAGCCGGCCTCAAGATCAAACGACTTGTAAACACAGTACACGGTTGGAATTTCGACCATAGTACAGGCTTGCTCTTGAGCTCTCCCCAGCGCCATATAGGACACTGGCAAGGACCAGGCGCGCGAATCTTGCAAGTCTGTGATTCCGAGGTCCAAGAGGGCATGGAAGACTTTGTTGCTGTCCGTCTGCCGTCGGTCATATATTTATTGCGCCCAGTTTATGAACGCTCTACGCCATTCCCAAGTCATATGAATCGCTCGTACTCGTCACTACATCCAAATCATATTTTAACAATATCAAAAAAAGATATCGAGGAATCAGCCTTCGCTGATGTTACTTTCAATCCATGGTACAAAAGACAATTGGCAGTGGTGTCCCAAACGGGATCGTGGCGTATATTTGAAATCTCAGGCACCCAAAGACACAAAAGATCGACATATACTACTTCCATCGTTCGACAAGGATCCTTTCAGCACTCCTCGAAACTGACCACTCGAGGTGACGATGGTTGGTACAGAGTCTTGTGGATATGCAACAGCAATGTAATTGTAGTCTGCGCTAGACGCGAGATCAATTTTTATAACATTTCGACTCTCCCTCTGCGTCTTGGTAGACCAAATTTGGGACTTGATCACTCTTCCGAATGGATTCTGGATATGAGAAGAGTGCCTGGACAGAGGAATCACCTTGCAATATTGACCACGACGCATCTTCTGCTGATTGACGCTGGTCACTTGGCCGAAACAATGAACGCCGACGGCGAGATCTTGACAGCCTCCAACATAACGAGCTGGAAATTATGGCGTGACCGGGACGACATCACGTTAAGAATGAGCATGGCTGCAGACCACGATGGTAGCATCCTGGCTGTCATATATTCACGACTTAATTTACTGATCACGAACATCCGCTTCGAGATTTCAGAAGTCGCTGGATCTGCTCGTTCATTAAGCGACCCCTGTCATCTTGACCTTGGTCAAGTCACTACTCGCAATATTGTCTCTGCCAAGATCGCCCTTACCAACTTTGCGAGTGTTGATGGCGCGATGGAAAAATCGGAAGAGGACCATGACTATGTCGACAAGTCTTTCTTCCAGCTCTTCGTGGTCCATGACGATTATTCAATGGAATCTTTTGTGTTTTTTTCCTCCAGTTCCAATGCGTCACGTCATGATGGACTCGTAGAGCCATTTGATTGGATAAAGCCATGGTCGAGGCAAGCACAGGTATCTCAGAAGCATGTTGACGACATCATGGAGGACACAATGGAGGGCTTAAGTGATTTCCACCTAGGCCATGATAACACTGATTACGATGTACCTGAGCCAATCCATCCGCCCGATTTCGGTTCTGGGTTTCATGATATTTACAAATTCAGCGTACGGCAACAGGACGACGATACTAGCCCCCTCATTCCATCTCTCGATCGTGTGAGATCAAATCTAGAGGACAGCCACACTGATGATATGTCAGCTGACCTATCCCGTACGCTTTACGAAATCATTGGGCCTACTACCATGGTTGCAGATACTTCCACCGCATCATCTGCTTTCTGGGATTTCTGTCGAACTGAGGTTACAAATCTAGAGCCAGATATTCCAAAGTATGGTATAAGGCCAATAATCAGCAATACTCATATTGGCCTTGAGATGATACAGCCTATAGACGATGATGACCAGGAAGGTCGTGCCCAGGATCTCACCATAAGTGCAGTCTATAGACATGCTACTAAACACTGGCTCGGTGGTCTCAATCCTGATACTTCGCGGCACTTCCGCAGGTCCAGAGAACATATCATACGTAGAGCTGCAGTCGACATCGCTCTTTCATTACACAACATTCAAGCCATACCTACGCATCCTTCGGCGAGCCAGTCTCAGGATCTGCCAAACGCCGCAACACAGTCCCAGACAGTGCCTGGATCCTTGTTCACAATACCGATTCGCTCGTCTGACAAGGGGAAAGCACCAATGTCCAGCAGACCTGACTCACAAGCATCCTCAGTACCTCTCTCATCGCATTCACAGTCGAGAGGGACTCAGAGTCATCAATTGCCGACACCAGAACCCACGCCGTCATTGACCTCGGCCTCTTTCAGTACGAGCTATGTGTCCTCCGGTCCACTCCACCTCAATGCCCTTAGAGACCATGCAAGGGTATCTAAACCAACTATCATCCTCTCTGGTCCTGTGGCTCGCACCTGTTCTCACTGGGCTTTTGGTGAAGATCCATCCCACTATGATTATGAAGCTACCATCCGAGAATTAGCTGCCCAAGTGGAGACGGAGCTCGCGCCGAAGGCTCGAAGGAAGATGGAACGGCGGATGAAGAAGAGGCTGCGAGAAGAGCGGTTGGAAAACGCGTCGAACCAGGCTGCTCAACAGATAGGCCGGATCACACTCAGTCAGCCGACGCCACGGGTCGAGCATGGAAGTTCTCCTGGGCCGTCGCATGGGGCATTGCCAGGTAGTAGTCAGCCTATTACTGCAAGTCAGATAGAATTTGGCAAGTTCGGTGCGAGACCGAAGAAGAAGAGGAAGCTGAGGCAATCGGGTTTCTGAACCCCGAGACAGAACAACATAGCAGTTGTTAATGCCGTGCCGCAGCGAGCTTATTGTATCTCGTTTCCAACCTCCGGTCTCATCGAATTAGCTTCATCTCTTCATATACGTCATCAGACGTCACATCCAACTTACTGACCAAAGTTCCATCCCTATCCCCAGGCATAATGACACACCGCGTCGTCAGCTCACACACCCAAGCCCCAGCCCCACAAATCCATCTGTACGAACCCGCCTCCTCCTCATGCCATGCCGCACTAACACACTAACGAGCTTGGAAATAATGCTAGTTAGCGCTTGGCTCCCAAGAATTTAAGAACTCTAGCACGTATTCAGTCCCCATCCATCCAACGAGCAGGCTCATTCTGAAACCCGCCGGATCAAGACATCAGACAGCGCTCGAATAAGTCGCAGACCTCCGTATGTGAGGCAAGAACAAAACTCTCATGTCTAGCATGATTTGCTATTCAAGATGCACGTTTCTCGAGGTCATTCATCGATGATGCGTAGAGGTACATGTATTGGACCTGAAGCGAGCGGTTGCTTGGCGCTCAAGGTAGCAACACAAATGCACACGTCACGAGTTCCAGCGTCCACCACCGTCATCAAGATGTCCAGGTCCAGATCATCGCTATGAGAGTAAGGATATGTCAGACGTAACGAGTTGCAAATTCGCAAATACGTAATGCTGTGCTATGCACTTGCGTTTGCTACACGATGGAGCCGAGCTGATTGATGATCATCGTAGCGAATACTTTGCGCGAGCTTTCAGCGCATGTCTGGGAGGAATACCCGACGATAACTACTAGGTAATTAGCTGTCTAAAACTGGTAATACTCTAAGAGTGCTTGGGTCTAGCGTCAGTCTTGAGCGGGAACGAACCATATAGCTTGGTAGTCGGAAGATGCCGCGGGTATGTATCCGTCTCGATGCTTGCGTTGGAGACTGGATAATTTTGTGAATTGATTGAACATGAAATCGTCGCAAACGAGTACCTGTATAGATGAGGTAGTTTACATGGGATAATACCACTCTGCACATAATACTGTGGAGGTACGAATGAGTTATACTTGGAGACGACATTCATCAGCATGAAAATCATAAGGTTTTGTAACACCATCCTGGGATGCGTGTATGTATGACACAAATAAGAAATGAAAGACACTCATACTTCAAAAATATACATTAGAATTAGATATTATGCTCAGTCATCAGAACAACAGCTCATGATGATTTACGGGCCCCTGAACATATGCCCCTTTATTCCGAACACTCTCTCACATATTATTCCTCTCAATAAGCACCTTATGCGAGCTGGCCGCGAACAGCACCGAGCGTGAAGGTCGAGGTGTGAGTATCAGTGAAGAAACCAGATGGGTTCTGGCAGATCTTCGCGAGCTGGAAGCCAGAGGCAGAGCCAGTGTCGGTGCCAGTCATAGGAGGCGCCAAGACGCCGGTCCTGAAGGGACCCTGCATACAGCCAACTGAGACACGCTTCTCATCTGGGCCAGTTGGGTTAGGGAAGGCGATGCGTGGTGGGCCGGAGGCACCACGGGCGGCCTCGTGGATATGGGTTGCGGTAAGAGCTGGGGAGCTGTAGTTGCCGGTTACACCGTAGAGCTCAATGTTCTAGTATACATGTTAGGAGACTGTAAGCAATGGTAAGTGGGAGGAGGTTCAGCTTACGTAGCAGATGAGATTCTTGGCGATGTTGATGCCGTATCGGAAACGTCCTGAGGCGCCTGGCTGGCCAGGGGCAGGAGTGGTTCCATTGCGGACTTCTCCTGGAACGGCATGTACGTCGAACGTGCAATCGTAATCGAAAACATCGTCCTTTGGCTTTGGGGAGTCGGCTGGAGGAGCCGGGTGTGATGGTACAGGAGCTGGTGGTGATGGAGGGTGAGATTCAGCCGGGGGAGCTGGTGAGTGAGATTCGACTGGCGGCGTAGGGTGAACGACTGGAGGAGCAGTTGCAGTCTCATAGACAGTGGTCGTCGCCTCCGGGCAAGGGGTGAGAGTGACTGTTGGGTGGGCAAGGGCACCAGCGGCCAGGATGAGAAGGGTAGCAGCGTACTTCATTTTGGTGGATGGATGATTGAAACGACTGTAGTAATCTTTGGTATTGAGGTAGTGAGGTTAAGCTGTTGAATGCTGATGGAGTAGAGAATCGAAGACGGGTAAGGGACTCCTTTAGTACTCTCTCTCACTCGATGGTATTACATATCAAGGAGACATCATTTCCACGTTCCGCTGCAAGTGGTCTCAAGGTGAAATGAGGCAGTGTTTTCTTTAGGCTCTTGGTAGAGGGCCGATCTTCCGACTTGTTCTTAGCTCCCCACAACCATGAGCAAGGTGTAAATGGAGCCAAGCATAATCTCCGCCAACATCACACTCCAGACTCAACAGATGCCAAGCATCATGGAGGACGAAATATCGGAAGAGTTCGTGCCGTCGTCATGTAAGACAGAAGCCAAGGCTGTAGTTGTCTAATTCCTGCGATTGGGTGGCCAAGAGGCTTCATACCATTTGGGCTATAGAATTGTCCGCAAGCGGAAATATACAAAAGAGAAGCCAAGGTGGTGGCACGGATAGATCAGAAGCCGTGAAAACTCGCCGGGGACACAGCGGGCGGCGGAGGCAGCCAAGTCAGCGGAAGAGCGGGGCCTCGCGCTTGGCAGTTAGGCTGCCTAGAGCCTACGGATCACCCTCGCCCTCCAACACTCGCCTCTGCAAAACCCGGGCGTCGATCCGACCTTCAATGCTCTTTGCAAAGGCCTAGACCCCAACCTTTCACTCCTCAGTCTCAGTGCCTAGCATCATCGTCATTTACGTGCTTCGTCATATCGAAGCTTGAGATGGACTGAGGCCCATGTGCCATAAGCATGGCAGCCTCGTTTCTCATCGGTTGCGTCATCACAGTGGCGGGTTTCGCGGCTTCAACCACAACAGCACATAGCGTGCTCAGTCTCATATAATGTCAAAGGTCTTGGCTCTTGAGTTTCGACATGCCGGTAGGAATATGATTCGGCTTTTGGATCCGGATTCAGACTCTCTTGGCAAAAAGTACAAGGCCAAGAGTTGCGAGTGGTCGGTGGATCTCTTGACGTGCTTCTTTTGCTCTTTTCAGATCTCGTCAATTTGCTTCGAATGGGTCGTTCTGACAGGCATCGACTTAGCAGTCATGGCGAATGCCTGGCAGATATGAGACATGTATCCTAGCCCATGAGTACGGAGATCTGTGCCATGGCATGATCAAGTCTTCCTTCTCTTCTGCTGTTGCTCCCAAGCCAGTCATGGCGGATATACCCCACATTTACATACAGATGTATATAGCCAAGCCAGGTTCTATCGAAGAACCGGGCCATAGACGTTCATTCAGAATTCTCCTTCGTGGTACTGTGCCAGTTCATCGGCTCTGTGTCACACCAAGCGAGCCATAGACATCGTGAGATGCCGTCTATGCCCTCTTCTGTCAGTTGTTCTGACACCAAGAGATATCAGGTCCGTAGTCGCCAAATACATCAGCTAGGAATTAGGCTCTACTCGCAAGGACTTCCGTTGGATTGCTTCGGGACGACTATTGAGAGTTGCTAAATGGATAACGCCAAGTCTGACGTATACGCCTCCGCCGTCATCTCAACGACTACTATCCTTAGAGCCCTTGAAATGTCCCACAGAACAGATCCGTTGCGTTATGGCAGTGTCAAGTGGCGTAGGTCTTCCGGTAATTCCACAAGGCCTCGAACGAGACTACTCCAAATAGTGGACGTGAGGCACACAAAAGGTCACCGACAACACCTGTTGACAACGATGCATAAGCTTGACTTTGGGACTTGACCGGATTCTTTGAACCTACGTGTGTGTAAGATCAAGTGATGCAAGATGGATGAGAAAGCTGACAAGATAGGTACCATTGGAAGATGTTGACGTTAATACTCTCACAGCAGGTGGTGGCAAGTGTGAGTCGATCTCTTGGCATCACCCTCTGGCTCCTCATTCCTCTTCCAAACCATATGCTCCATACGTAGTCTTACTTTCAGTCTCTTGTGCCAATTCTATCCCTATTCTCGTAAAGAACGTCAGTGACACTTCTCTTTTTTGACTACATATTCCGGTGCCACCTCTCCCTCCTCCCACCTCCCTCCAGCATGTCCAGTGTCACGCCTGTTCTTTGCAGTATTTGCTCATATTTTGTGCAATTGACTAATACTCTCGTTCGTGAGCTTTGAATGCTACAATTCTTCACATGACGCCAAATTTCTTCTCTTACAGTGTGATTTCTCTATCTAGCGATGAGCGCTATTAGTTGTAATTTTCTAAGTCATAAGCGGTCCTGTGAATGCTATTGGCAATGCTGGTAGCTACTTGATAGCTACATGATATCGAAATGGACGAAGATCTGTATAACTTGTCGCTCTCCATATTCACTATAGAATACACAGTGTAGGCTCTGTAAAGAAGTCTCTCTTTTACTTTCCGTCACGCATTTCACTGCTACCATGAATGGTTCCAGTCCCGATCCCGGTCTAAAGTCATTCTCATTCATGTCTAAAAAGGTGTGGCTGCCTTATTGTCTTGCGTCTTGCGTTTGAACAATACTCGAGACCTGTACGCCTTTGTGTTAATCAGACCACTGGTAGCGGTGTGCAGGTGCAGACACATTCACGTGGCCAGGGGCTCACAGCACGCATTGTCATGGACTATCCTTAACCTTGACTGCCTTAGCGAGAACACATATTGCAAAGACTGTCATAACAGCTCAAAGCTCCCTGGCGAGTACGTAAGCAAGTGTCTCATTTATAAACTGTGGTATCATTTCGAGCGCAGGTTGCATGTGCAGACGAAACTTCGCTCTATCCATCACATATAGGACTCGTCAGACATTTTGAACCAGCTTTACCACTACACTCCTCCGACATGTCAATATTCCAGGAAGACGGGCCCGAGACTCCAGGGAGTCAAACGTACATTATCCCTCACACCGACCACCCTCAGATCTACTCGTTATGGGACGCTCACATCGTCGCGTACGATGTGACTGAGAAGCTGGATATCGCAAACAAAGTCCTTGTTCCTTTCACTACCTACACGTATATTCAAGTAGAAGAGAAATTGGTTGTCACAACCGATCTCAGGGAGTACAGCTTCGCCTACATCTTCCCCGATACCGACTCTCTATTTCACGGGAACAGAAGATTACGTCTAGCTGGCTGCACGCTCGTCTCACGCGATACGTACGCGAACGAGCGTCCCCTGAGAGCCGTCGAATGGCGTTTCATCAAATCATTCGGAACAGACACAAAAACTTTCACCCTCGGCTCCAGAAGCATGAAGATTGGAACAGCCATCAGCTGGTACGACGCGGCTTTCGCCGCAGAGACCAGAGATCTAAATAGCTCATTAGGACTCCGCCTGAACCCAATCCACATCTACCCCGGGTCTCGCATGAAGACTGTCGAGGCCGTACTCGTCCCATCGCAGACACGAGACGCCACAGATCCGAATAAACCCCTCTTTACCATTCCCTGCGCTGCCTACCGATACAATGCAACCTTCAGGCGGCTACAGATCTACTTCGACCAGGAAGACACGACCGTAACCCACAACGGGCAAGATATAAATATCAACCGGCCCGATCCCTCCTTGGCGCGTTACCTGGACTACGAGGTCGCAGTTCCACGTGTCCAGGAGATTGTGCTGGCGTTTGAGGATGGAGAATCCACAGTCACGCGCCGTGGACGCATTAGTGACTTTGGAGACGAGGAGGGTGGGTACGCGGCTCTTGGAGGTCTTCCATGGACAATTACAGTCAGAAGACTGATAGAAGCTATCGCAGCGCTCAAAGCGGCACATAAGAGCAGAATGGAGCATAACTGAGGGGCATGTCGAGGAGGGTTGTGCTGACGAGCTATGATAAGGACTTGGGCGCACAAAACGTATCATGAGATGTAGTGATAGATACATAAATACATAAACCCCCAGGGAATGGGAGCTGACATGCACAACCAGAGCGGAAGTTTAGATAGAGCTCCAAGTGGCATAGTTATCATATGTACCAAGGCACACATTTATTATCTGTACACCACAACTTTTTGCCTTCGTATCAAGTTTATGATATCAAATATAACCATATAGGACGATTTAACATAGCTGACCTGCAAGAAGGAGATCGAATTTTCAATACCCTTCAAAGCTCATTGTGTATGATACCACTGTTAGAGGGATGAACTAAGTGCTCTAAGAACATATCAAGTGGTTTATTCGTGAATCGGGAGTAGCCTTTTGTGCCACTAATACACTATCATGCAGATTAACATATAGCAGAAATCACATAATCCATTACCTAAGAGCATCTTCAAAGGATTCTTCTACCACTAGATAAGTTAATCTTATACCGTTACAGCTGTTTAGGTGGTTTGATTTGTATAATAAGCTCGCTTTCCACATATGCATAAAGTTCTTCCATCATTGGGTCCGCATAGAGGGCTAAGAATCTGAGTAAGTCATAGAACTTACAGTGAATAGTAGCTCATTTGGTTACTTGTATTATTATTACCAGGAGTTTTCCACCCGGGCATATCGTAGAAATTTTATAGCTAATTTATGTCTATGAGAGCTCACAAGATTTCCACTCGTTCGAAGATTCAATGCATTGGATGACCCGTGGAACTCAAGGCAGTTCTTCTCTCGCAGGGGTTCGTGTGATATCTACGGCTCAGAGCTGTTGCACGGATTCTGCTTGAGTAGCTTCGAACTGATGACGTACACAATCAAACTCTAAGGAGTTTCACTGAGCTGGTTTACCCTGAAACTTGATGTGCATTAGTACGAAATGGGAATCCTCAGCCCTTAACACATTGTTTTCACATTTTAGTGTCATAGTTTCACTTAAGCCCTGGTCTCGCATATGCTTCAACCAAACCACTAGCCCAGGCTGAATAGAAGCTTCGAGAGCGCACAGAATTGAATGTACTCCTGGCTTGTCAGACGATCAAGACTCCACAAAGCCCGAGAGTAGCCCACTCTCGCCGTAAAACTCGAATTAGAACCGAAAGACTATGCCCAAACACCGAAAATCCTCGGCTATCAAATACACTACCATTACATGACCCGGTAAGAGAAAAAGTAGTCATCAAGACTGAGGTGCATGTCTGTCACATCGCAAGTCATATATGGTCACCTTATTCACAACATTTTTGACATAGAAGAGTTCACAGGAATGATTATATAGCAGGGCCTTGGACTTATCAATACAATTGGTTGAAAGAAGTAGAACATACTTGAAACAAATCGTTCGGGGCCGAACTCAGGTCTACGGTTTGCGACCCGGTCAATCTCATGATTCACAAGGGGTAAATTCCCCGTCTTAAAGTCAAAAACGTCTGAGAAATAGTCGGACGATGCTTCTGAAGCCGGAGAAGTCGCGTTCCCCCACCTGCATACTCGCCTGATGGATTATTGTGACATAGCAGTGGTGCTATTTCGATCATAAGACTGTTCCAATGATCTCACACACGACCGCGAACACTGATTGTCGACTCGACATGTCTCTCGATCTCGGCCTCAAAGATTTCCAGGTCTTCGTCACAGGTCGCTCAGGAGTGGCATCGGAATCGAGATAGTGCGAATACTGCTACAACGTGGCGTAAAAGTGAGTCCACTACAACTCGAAGCTTGTCAATCTCACACCCCAAAACTGACGTGCGCTTTGAAAGTGTTTTTGACCCCCTCACATTGAAGCATTAACCCACCACGGCACCGTCACAATTCTCATCGTCAATCACGGTCTCTCTCGTCGAGAGGACACTCTGATAGCAGAAATGTCTCTCTAGAAATGGCACACCACCGTTGATGTTAAATTCACAAGCACATTTCGCGTCTGTCGCGCTTACCTACGTCAACTGCTCCCCGGCACCACTTTCCGTGTACGCTCTCGCAAACATAATCTTTATTGGCAGCACAGCGAGCAAGTTTGGCGAGACTCTCTACAGTTACGATGCGGCATCCAAATCTGGTGTCATGTATGGGCCCTGAAACATGCCCAGATCGTGGCGATTGCGGCCCCGCGCGCAGGTTTATTGAATGAATCCGGGCTGGATAGCGACGTCAAGTGAAGAGGGTGTGCTAGGAAATATGGCCTTTGCTCACTACATTCTCGCAGTAGTGCTTGTACAGAGAGTCGCGTAGTCGACGGATGTTACAAGGCAGATTGCTGTACTGGCGGGCCCGGTGTTGGGTGGACAAGTAAGCGGGATGGGCATGTTTGGAAGGATGAAGAGGAGGATGCGATTAGGGCCAGAGATAGGAGGTTAGAAACTCAGAGTGCAAGAACATTGGTAACTACGAGAAGCCACACTAGTGGCTGCACGGTATACGACTCCTGGGTACACCGACTTCCGGATTGGGTAATTTTGCGAGTGACGATCGGCGGAGACTTTGCCGTTTACGATACGCGTATAGCGCACAGGGTAGGGCTTGGCACGCGTGTATTCAGCCTCAAGCGTCATCCTTGGTGTTGTTAGCCCCGGGAGTAGCTTCTGATTGGATCCAAATCGATTCACGATGCTCAAGCGATCCACTCGTTCCAGCAATCCCACTATACAAGGCTGACAGCTGCGGAATTGATGATCATACTCTTTGCTTAAACCAGACGGAGCTGAGATTTATGCATCCTGTGATAATGATGTCAGTGCTCTATTGCGGGAAGATCAGGGACTTACCGAGTGTAAATATAGTATCAGTTGAACAATATGCACAACATATATAATCTATTCGAGTCCCGTTGTATTACGACAAGTACATCTCTCACCTCAATCCTGATTGAACCGGGGAAAATGTATTACTCCGCCGTGATTGTATCCTCTTTCGTCGTTCTAACGACAGCGACATACCTGCCGACCGAAGAGTGTCCTATCCTAGGTCCAACATTTCCATCGAACTTTGACATCACGAATGCATCTGCATTTCAAGACGCCGTGTCCTCCTTTCCATCTTTAGTTGAGGAGCTGTTCTCTTCGGGTGTCATCGACCCCAACACGTCAACATTCATCGCCGATGTCTTCTCCACACATAGTAACGGCTCCATCTACACATACATACACAGATCCCCTGCTCTTGATGAGGCGCTCACGGCTGGAACTCTGGACGACCGCACGGTGTTTCGGATCGGGAGTGTGAGCAAAATGATGACTGTGTATAGTCTTCTCGTGCAGACAGGAGGGTTGGAAGTGTTCAATGACCCGGTGACAAAGTGGCTGCCGGAGTTGGTCGGAAATAGAGGGGGTGCGTTGGAGAAGATCGTGTGGGAAGACGTGACTGTCGGTGCGCTGGCAAGCCAGATGGGAGGCACAGGATCATTTCGTGAGCTCTCGCTGTCCATGTTTCGAAAGTCAAGGCTGACTTTGAAATAGCCTTCGAGTCGTTCTGTCTAGACGCGCCGGACCAACAATGCACGGATGCAGGTAGGTCTACATCATTGTTAAATGCGCCACATGCTGAACGTCATAGAATATTTCGCAAGTCTACGAGACCACAAACGGCCAGTGTTCGCACCGTTTCATACTTCGCTATATTCAGACAACGGATTTGGTATCTTAGGTCGTGTCTTGGAGCGGATGACTGGAATGAAGTACAACGACGCCATCCAGCATGTGCTCGGTGGCCAGCTCAACCTTGGCAGCTTCACTTCTTTTGCACCTGGAGGAGATGGACTGAATGCTTTCAAGCTCCCTGGAAACGGGACTGTCTCATCGTGGGGTATGGACCCTCAGACTCAAGCACCGTATGTCTTTTCTCCCTTGAGCCATATGCACTATCTGACTTCCAGCAGCTCTGGCGGCGTCTACACGAGCACAGCCGACCTCCGCACCATCGGCCTCTCAATACTGAATTCCCGGCTCTTGTCACCAGCCGATACCCGCGAATGGATGAAGCCACGCGCCCACACTTCAACACTCGTCTTCAGCAACGGCGCACCCTGGGAGATCTACCGTCTCGCACTGCCCGTCACACCGAACTCTTCACGAACGCGTATCTCAGACCTGTACACGAAGCTTGGAGGCAACAATGGCTACACCACGGTATTCGCCCTGTCGCCAGACCACGGGATCGGCTACTCGATCCTCATCGGTGGACCTTCAGCCTCTACTGACCGATTCCCGCTCCGCGATCTGGTTGGTGAGACATTCATCACCGCTGCTGAGCACGCTGGTGTCGAACATGGTGCGAAGAGTATCGCCGGTACATATGTCTCTCAAAACTCGAGCGGCACGAACCTGACATTTACTGTGGACGCTGATAGGCCTGGCCTAGGCTTGCAGCACCTGTATTTCGAGGGCGTCGAATCGCGTGCGAGTCTCATTCAGATTGGCCTGGAGGATGAGATACCACAAGAGAACTTGACAGTTAGGCTGTATCCTATGGGTCTAAGATCTCCAGGGCCCAGTAACTCGACGTTTGGGCCACGAACGGAGTACTTAGCCTTCAGGGCCGCTCCACAAATCACTCCTATCAATCCACGAACATCTAGCGAAGGAGGTGTAGGTATGTTCGATAATAGTTGTTTCGTTACCTGGTCCAGCGTCGATTTCAATGTACCGGATGAGTTTGTATTGGAGTTCCTCGCGGGTAGAGTGCAGAGGGTATATAACCCTCTTGCGCAGATTTGGATGAGCCGTGTATGATGTCTGAAATACGCCCAGAAAGGTACCTCATGTGGATATTTGTTGAGACTGGATGGTAATGGCACGCGATAAATGGTTTATAGTGGTAGATCGAGTGCAGAAAATGTTTCAGGAGGATTGAAGGTGACGAGTCAATGCTGAGTCAAGCACTTTGGTATATGTAATGGAAACATCATCACTTACAGAACTGATGTCATCATATTGGGTAATGCTACATGACAAAAGAGATAGACAGGATCGTCTGTCAATGCAGATCTACATGCAAGTGTAGCATGGTGGAATTTTACACATATGTAATTCAGTGAATTGACGATACCGCGTCACGCAAAAAGATAGCTGAGCCGCAAAGAACACTGCCCCTTAGTATCTAATATTCACCGGGCACATCACGTGCAATACTAGTCTGAAATAAGATGTGTTTGTGCCCGATATCTGTACAGTATATGGCTTTCTTCAAAGCCCATCTTGATTTTCAGTTGCACCTGTTTAGTATATGCCATTCAACATGGCAAGAGCAAGATGTGGTGTGGTATTACATACATATAGCCTTGCAATCGAACATCACAAATCATAGACCCCGGCGCGGTTACGACCCGGTTTACTGACGGCCGGGTTAAGAGCTGCGAGTTTATCTCTTATTCGTTCCCTGATCGCTGTCATCGACCTAGAACCCAGCAATTAAGCAAACTTTAGCCTTTACACGTACATAACAATACTGCACTTGCCCCGTGCCGCACACCACACCACACATCAAAGCCACCAACGGGGCCAACACCCCGAAGGAGGTCTCATCCCACGCTGCGATTCCAGATTCTCCATATGCACCATCGAGTGCCGAATTTCACGATGCAGAGCGAGCGCACCCATACGATTCATCCACTCCCAAAAGTCCAGCCTTGCAATTGGCCCCTCATAGAATTTATATACCGCAGCCTTGTCGGCCCGATTCGATTGCCCCGCCTATACCCTGATCGCGCTAGTACAGCACAGTAGACGGCTACAGGCGCGCTAAACCCTATACTCCGGGGCGCCCCGGGCGGGATCTGGCACGCTAGACCATACTGGGACGGTGCTGCCAGGTTTGGGGGCGGGATACCGGGTCGGGCAGAGGAGAACCACCGACGTGGACCCAGTCGCGCGGTCGCAAAAGCACTTTAGGCGGTGGCGAAATGTATGCAAGTGAGGAGGTTCTGGATGCTTACAGAGACGGGAAGTGTAGCTTGGATCCTGGCGGACGTGGGCATGGCACGGGGTGGGAAACCGGGATGTAAGTGAGGGGTTTGATGGGATTGTGCCATGTGGAATTGTGGATAAATTGCTGGTTGGCTGGCGAGGCTGCACCGTGTTGGTGCAATGGTTTAACTGTCGCGGTATACCTTGGGTTTCTGCGTGATTGGTGGCTTTGATGCAAGGAGCCCGACTATCACGATAGGGCGAGTACTCTAGCTCGGTTACTGATTAATTCCATCGCATTCTCTGCATCCAAATCTGGTCGATAAAGCCTGATAGGGATAGGGATTTGTAACATGTATTCAGGCAAGGCTGCAGCCGGTCGACTCACGGGAATCACAAAACCAAGAATGTTCAAATAATATTGTGGGTTTATGTGGGTTTATTAACATTATTATTATCGTCAATAAGTCGTCGTGACTCGTGAAGGATAGTCGTGAAGTCTAAGGTGCGCGTACCGCACACTAATGCAGATAGGGTATGAAGCTTCAGATCCGTCAACGCCCCCTGCCAATGTGGCACTCTGTCTCAAATGTCAATAAAGGCTCCAATCAGTGCTACAAGTCCAAAGCTCCAGCTCATTTTGACTGTGATAGAATTGGCTGCACCAGTTGGTTGAGGCGATGGTACTGGTGTCACGCCTGGTGGAAGTGAGGTAATGACTGATGTCACACCAATGGTTATGCTTGTCATAATTGTTGTGACTTGTGGTGGCGCAGATATGCCCGACGGTATAATGGTGAGCTCAGATGTGAAAACAGTCGGCACGGTAATCACGGTCGTTTGCTCTAGAGGAGGGGACCCAGAAACGACGACTGTTGAGGAAGGTATCGTATCAGACAACATAGGTACACTTGGGCGAGTTGGTGACGGCGTTGTCGATGTCGGAGGAGCAGCAGAAGTGGGCTCAACTGACGATGGCGGAGCATCAGACGTCGGAGTCGGACTTGAAACTGATGTAGGAGCCGCAGAGGAAGGAGTTACCGGGGTAAGAGACGGTGGAGTGAGAATCGTAGAAGACAGCGGATTTGGTATTGGTGTATTCGCAGGCGGTGGGGAAGATACCATGGTAGGGGATAGCGGGTTTGGCAACGGGGTATTGGCGGGCGGTGGTACTGGCGTGATGACGGCACTTGACGGCAGGGGATCATCTGACATGACTGGATCTGGGGTTACTGCAGTCGTAAGAGGAGCTGAGGGACTCGGCACTGGTGAGCTCGGTATGGACGGGGATGGTGTGTCGCTGACACCTGGCGGAGGTGGTGCAGCGGAGATCGTAGGGGTATCAAGACCGCTGCTCAGTGATGGAGGCATGATGGCAGAAGAAGGTTCCACAGCGACACAGAGAGCTTGCGAGACAATTACACCTCCAATTTGACAGGCATTGTCAACGAGAGAAGGAAGTAGGGCACCTGTCTGTGCCGCTACGTTTGGATCGGCCAAGATGTTCACTTCGCCGGTAACAGATGTTGTTAAGCCAGTAGGTGTGGTCGAGACGTTAGCCGGAGTTGCTGTCGAAGAAACAGAGTCTGGTCTTGAGTTAGCATATGCAGTAAGATTATGCGATGAAGCATACCAGTTGCCAGTACAGTCACGATGCCAAAGAGCCATAGCGATAACGTTCGTGAGAAACCCATATTTAGTTATATGACACGCTGACAGACAATTATGTTGAACAACGAATGTTTGAGCTCACGAAAGACGATGAGCGAACGAAGCCGTCGCGAGCACGCTACAGGATAGTTCTGCTCGTGGGCGAGTTCGCACAGTACTTAAAGGATGCAATTCTCGCCGCCGATCACTGTCAACAAAAATATCAAGCTGAGCTGGCCAATGCAGAATGGACTTGGCTTATTGACTTAGCTTAGTGCAAGGCCACGATAGCGTCGCTCTCACCTGCGGTGCATCGTTCCGTCTCACCAGGTAGATACATTAGCGAATGATAACAACTCTGAGAGCATCGCAGACCACGCCGCACACTATAAGTGAGCAGTGGCCAATCCGGTAGGGCGCAAAGGACGCTAGCATGCATCGGTAGGCAGGTTGATCAACTTGATATGCACTCGACTGCAGCCGTCAGCCGTAGCAGTGGTGGTCCCTTGGCAAACATACCCAGAGTCCCAGACGGGCCCATGATATCCCGAGCGTACGCTTCTGATTCGTAGATGAAGCCTCTCCAAAGACTGTGGTTTGCCTACGGGTCGAGGTGGAGGCGACCTCGACAGGCTAGCCCTGTGGCCAACAGCTCATGGCAGACACGCTTATCGGGCCATCTGCTCTCCCCGGGCGCAAGAGTCCTATCTTATTTCGATCCTCCGGATCTTCCTTGAAGCCTATGCTTGTGGCACGTCTCCACGCTTTATCACAGTGCAGTCGACATCGATGGCGCTTTCGACGTTGGTCGTCGCATCGCACGTTCAGTTTGGAAGCATAGTTCAAAGAGCAGACACTCCGCAGGCTATATCGGTCCCGCCATCAGGCGTCTGGCTCGGCAATGATGGAAACTGGTCAACGTACGTGCCGGTTGACACTGCCTCACCGAATGTGAATAGCGAAACTGATATCTGTTCCCAGGTTTGGGATCCAGGTTGGAACTCCGGCACAGAACTTCAATGTACTCCTATCCACGAATCGACATGAGTTCTCCGTGCCATACAAAAACGGCTGTCCCGAGAGCTTCGACCTCACTAACTGTGGATATCAAAGGGGGGTGTATACTGAGAATGCTGACCAGAACGGCTTCGATCCGAACTCGTCCACTTCCTGGCAGGATGTAGGCACCTATCAAAGCTTACAACGTCAGGGACCCTATAGCGTAAAGGCGGAATACGGACTCGATACCGTAGCGATTGGGAACACTTCCATCAATGGTCAAACCCAACTTGTTTCAACCTACTCGGACTCAAACCTGTGGTTGGGGGTTCTAGGGCTCGATCCAAGACCTCTAGCCCTTGGCGGCAGCGACCGTGTCGCTCCACTGCAAGCCTGGAAGGACGCTGGCAAGATCCCAAGCCTATCGTATGGCTATACTGCCGGAGCTTACTATCGTAAGCGATGCACTGTAATTGTTCATGACTTTGGCTAACCTAATTCCAGAGTATGGAGGTACGCCTGGAAGCTTGACGCTTGGTGGTTTTGATCGAAACTTGATGTCTTCACAACAAGTGGTGGCTCCAATCGATAGGGATGCTGCTGGCGCCGACGGTGCCGGAGGTGCGCTTCGATTGAGTGTCACGTCCATAAAAACCAAAAGCGGGCCTAACGGCGACCGAGTGGTATCGGATACAACCATTACAATGCCTATTGACTCGACTGTTCCGGAACTTTGGCTACCAAGGAGCGTATGTGATCAATTTCAAACGGCTTTCAACCTGAATTATTCGGATAGTGCGGACCGGTACTACTTTGGAAGCTTCGCCCTCGCCCGGGAGATTGCATCGAAGAACCCTGCCGTGGAATTCGTCATCGCTGATGGTTTCGAATCAAGTGAGAGCATCACGATCAGTGTACCTTTCTCAGCCTTTAACCTCAACGTTTCCTTTCCAGTCTTTGAGAGTGCAGTTCCCTGGTTCCCGATTCGACGAGCCGCGAACGAAACCCAGTATACGCTTGGTAGGGTCTTCATGCAAGCTGCGTATGTGTTTGCAGATTATGAGCGTGGCAATTTTACGGTTACTCAAACGGCATACTCTTCGCCGATGCCGTCCCCGGACATCGTGACGGTATATGCCATTCAGGACTCAGGACCTGGTAGTGGAGGCAACGGTAATCAAGATGAAGCCCCTCCGACTGGTGGCGGAGGTCTTTCTACGGGAGCCAAAGCTGGGATCGCGGTCGGTGTCGTTCTTGCAGTAGTACTTGGTGGCGTTGGAACATTCCTTTGGCTCAAGCACCGCAGAAAGACAGATTACGACAAAGAGGTAACGATTAGTGGAACGCCGGATGGTGAGAAAAATGATACGCAGACGGCGTGGCAAGCCAATGTCGTAGGACTGCCCGTACATGAATTGGAAGCGAGTGAACGCGGTGCGAGGAAATATACCCCGGACCCTGCATCTCCTCTCACGCCACCCTCAGAATTGGGAACGCATTCGAACTGGCGACATACTCCCGAGCTCGACGCACAAGAAGCGCAGAGAGTGGGAAGCCCAGGGTAAGCATCCATAGTTCCTGACTTTGAATGAGTCTAAGCGATACTGACATTCTCACAGCGGTTCTACAGGAGAGAAGGGAAGTCGCTTGCAGGAGTATCGCTGAGATTGAAGTGTGTACTTGTCAAAAGAATGACTTGAAGCATATTCCCTTCCAAAATTGATGTTCTTATGGCTCGATCAGGCCTAGATGTTGACACCTAGACGTTTTCCAGACACATGACCTGGTCAAACCAATGCAGGTAAGTCCTGTTGACGTGGTTCATTCGAGCACGTACACGATCTAGCTACCCGAAGCTCGACGATATCGTTTGTCATTTGATATGTCTGCCCAACATCAGCGTGTGGTGCGGTTGGGGGAGTGCACACATACAGGCTATACGACACGCGTTCTGATGCCACCACGTTGAGCAAAGAGATATATAGAGATGGTGTCGAAATGCATCTGGAGCAAACTGTAGCATGAAGGTGTTCGAAGATTCTTTCATCCCATGAAGCGAGGTCTCTGCGCCGGTGCCGGCATCGGATGATCGGATGAGCACGCTAACGATCCGATGCACGTGTAAACCTTTCCTAGAACAGTATAGATGAATCCCGCTACTGGCCTTTGTTTCTGATGAAGCTGGACTTTACCCATCTCGCCCACAGAACTTATCTATGTCATCTATGATGCCTTGGCTAAGTCTCAATCCATTACCAGACCCAGCAGATACAAAAATATGCGCAATAGTCATTGCTCTAGTTGGACAACACCTGTATTGCTATTAGAGGCTTTGATCTTGCATCGTTCACAGCAGTTACCTATACCCGTATTCCCATGACTCATGGCCGGAATGCAAGCAAGATTTATCGGACATCTTGTTCAAGAAGATGGAGCATCTATCCTGGTAAGATGTCTCGAGAAATTAGCCTTCCACACCGTTCATTAACCTTCCTCTCACATTACGTGAACATGGTCATATTGTTCAGTGTTCAAGTCATTCTTCCTCTCATCAATGTCACAGGTACAGTCGAACCTCGGCCCATTCCATTATATGCAACCGCTGAATATATGGTGATAGTGGCAGATGATTCCAAAACACTGTGTTTTAGCAGTGCAATTATCAAGGATCGACTGTCAAGGTCGCCTACACTCTTGCTGCCTAGCTGGGATGCATGAAAACATGCGACTCGGCTCGATCGCTTCCGCATGCAGTATGCGACAAGACCAATGTCTGCTGTGGCTCCACGGGCTACATACACACACGTGGGCCAACGACGAGCGCTTCACTACCTCTTGATCCGTTTCCAAGTCGACTACTGGATTCAGCATCACCAACTGTTTCTATGGAAAGTTCCGTCAGACGAACTCGACTGGCGAGATCTTCGCTGTATTCCTAGATATGGACTACGAGGGGGACTCAATGACCGTAGCAGACGAACTGTATGCAAGACTGTGCAAACTACATTCATGTGCGCAGGATGACTGTCATCAGGTGTCCCAGCAGTCCTCTGGGAAATTGCGATCTGAAAAGATACAAACCAGTTGGATCTATGACGCCGACAATTCGAACAATACAGATCACATCGCCAGTCACCCACGTAGAGATAACTTTACCACGGACAGCAGTACACTCTTCACCTTGTATGCTATTTCCTATTGCTCAATCACAAGTCAGAAAATTACAAATGTCTCGAATGAAAGTTTCACAGTCTTCGGACGTTGCAGGACGTCTCGGGAGGATTGTAATGGGCGACAGTCATGACACAAGGACCAATCGGTCGACACTGCTGGAAGGCTTTGATGCCACTCCTTTGTTGACAATGAATGAGAACGGCATTAGTAGCATGTCATACCTAGCTACACAATTGGAAAATCACATTCACATTAAGCTGGCCCGCGGAAAGCAATGAATCGATACAGTACCAGTAATGATGGTTCGGCACGGTCGGGAGGACGTCTCGTCTCAGACGTCGTCCACATGTGTGAGTCAACTTTCTTTACGATGTTGGCGGCGATCATCTTTCCTGGTCTGATCGTGTCCGGAATCCACCATACTTGTTCGGCGCAGACGAGGAGCCAGCAACGAGGACGACGTCCAGACCTTATCGACTGCGAATAATACTACTGCCGGCCCTATCACCATGATCACCAGCAGAACAGGCCCGAAGCCAAGTTGTCGATGGAGCGGATTGGCAGTGCTACCTATAGCATCAACTCGGAGCTAGCGAACGGCTCGACCTATGGAATTGACCTCCCAAACTACAATGGGATCCTTCTTCCTTGGCCCTGGCAATCTTTTCGTGCTTCTCAAGACTGTTGCATTACCGAGCATGACAACGACTATCGACAACACCACATGATTCCGCTTCGAGGCATACTTTGTTACACCTCTTCAGTCTAGTACAATGCGGGAGGGACAATTGAATATCACTTCTCCCGAAATCCCTCAACCTTCCATACCCGCCTTGCCTCTTTTCTCCCTGCTGCATTACCGCCGCTAACAGTTGCCTCTTGTCGAGTGTTAGGCAATACACCGCACCGCGTAGCACGTATTCGATCCCTGCCGTTCAGAGGCTTGATACGTCGTAGACACAAAAGTAACGGATAGCAATGCGACACTATATTATCGGCGATAACTCCGCACAGTCATATTTGAGCTCCTCTAAGACTATAACATGGCAAGCCACCCGCCCCGCCTCCAGTCCATGATGTCCTTGCGCTCTATGCAGTTGTTCCTGGCTGCCTCGAGCTGTCAATCTTACTGCACTTAGAGCACAGCCCCACCGTCGATTACTGTTGACTAGTCTAATAAGAGATCTACTATAGTACAGTAGCAGGATGCCGATCTCTAAGACCGCGTCTGTGTAATAAGCGTACCATTACACTACTGCTTAGCAAAGTACAGTAGACCAAAGCAGGTTAGTCTACCCCGGATTCTTCCAGTGTGGGCATGTGTATCCTCGGCATCTTTACTTCTTCGATCCCTGTGATTGGACGGCTGCTGTCACGGATTGTGGGGAAGGCAGTCCAACGAACAACTGCTAAAATTAAGTTGCAGATCACTTACACATAAGCTTAATTCTATTATCCTACCCAGCCCGTCATATCGAGCTGTTCATCTTCCTGCTGTAGGCTGTAGGCTCGACAAGGCATGGTCATGGCCGGATGCAGCTGTGCCGCAAGCGTTGGAGAAATCGAGGCCCGAAATACAGACATGTGCCTGGCAAATCCAGCAGATCAATTGTTCTAAATCACAAGCCGCGAGGCCGTCGATGTGTAGACTTCTCTCTAGAATATGGCACGTAACGCGCGGCGTGTGCACTATCCCATAGGCCGCCCATGGCTCAATTCAATTTTAACGCGGCGTACGCCATCATCGTCGGCCTCAAAAATTGAGGGGATTTACTATAAATCCTTCGTTGCGCCCCTGTCGCTTCGCAGAGCGGAAGTTCCACCGAAAACGCCATCGAACTCGTCTCGTCTACGGTCCAAGACTTTGTCAACAATATGCGTTCATTCATATCGATCCCCTTGCTGGCTGGCCTCGCCGCTTCGAGCACCATCCCAGCTTCGCCGGTGGACGCAAGAGATGCTGCTGCTGCTCCCTCTTTCGCCCCTATCAAGAGCCAGGAGGATTTGAGCAAGGCGCTGAATGATCTCTACACCGATGCCCAATACCTTGGACTCGGTGCTGTGGCCGGCGCTGCTCTGCTGAACGCAATTGTTCCGCTCGCATCCCCAAACAGCACCGCCGAGCTGGCCGAAGACTTCAAGAAGATCACGGCCGCCAACCCCAAGGACATTTTTGAATATGGTGCCCAGATCATCCTCAATGGCTTCTCTGGCCAGGACTTCCTCACCATTTTCAACGCCTACGTGTTCGCGGTAAGCATATCCCCCTCCCGGCCCCTGACAATCACAATTCCCCCAACATGACTAACACCATGGATACAGAGCAACACAAACAACATCAACCTCCGCCGCCCAGCCCGCCCCATCTACCCCAAAGCCGACCCCCGCGACGCCCCCTACGACATCTCCGAGTCCGACCTCCGCAAAGCAATCTACATCCCCCCCCGACTTCACCTACGGCCGCATCCCACCCGTAATCTTCCTCCCCGGCACCGCCGCCCTCGCCGGCCAAAACTTCGGCCCCAACTACGGCAAACTGCTCAAGCGCGACAACATCGCCGACCCAGTCTACCTCAACCTGCCCGGCCAGAACCTCGCCGACATCCAGGGCGCCGCCGAATACACCGCCTACGCAATAAACTACATCTCCGCCATCTCAAACAACGTCAACGTCTCCACCATCTCCTGGTCCGCCGGCAGCCTCGACTCGCAGTGGGCCTTCAAGTACTGGCCCTCCACCCGCTCCCGCGTGTCCGACGCAATCCGCCTCTCCGCAGATTTGCACGGCACCGTCTTCGCGCGCCTACTGTGCCCGGGCTTCACAACACCTGGCTGCACGCCCGCCATCGCACAGCAAGAGTACGACTCGAAGTTCATCAACGTGCTGCGCGCCAACGGCGGCGACTCCGCATACGTCCCCACCACAAGCATCTACAGCATCTTCGACGAGATCGTCCAGCCGCAATCCGACCCCATTGCCTCCGCCGCCAGCCTCGACGCACGCGGCGTCGGCGTCACAAACGTCGAGCTGCAGAGCGTTTGCACTGCCTTGCTGCCCGGCGGCCTGCCGATCAACGACCACGAGGGCGTGATTATCAATGCGCTGGGCTATGAGCTGGCCAAGGATGCGCTGACGCATGCCGGGCCCGGACAGCTGAGCCGCGTGGATACGAATATGGCGTGTGAGCGGTTTGCGGCGGATGGGCTGAGCTTGGCGGATATCTTTGCGACGTATGCGCTTATTCCGATTGCCGCGTTGAATATCCTTGCGTTTCAGCCCAAGGCGGATGGGGAGCCGCCGATTAAGGCGTATGCGGCGAATGGGCAGGCGCCGTGATGGGTGGGTGTGTTGTGTTGTGGTGGTGTATATAGGGTTTGTTGAGGGAATTGAGGTGATGATGATGTTATGATGACATGGGTAATGCGAGGTGTGATGTGGTGGTGTATATAGGGATAGGAATGTGATGAATGGGAAAAAGAACTCTGTTGTTGATTGCTTATTTACATGAATGCACCAGACACTGCTGACACACATCTCCACATGCCATTCAAACTGCGTCCCACGAAGCCAGACCATTCGCCGCCAATGCAATATGAGATGCTCAAGAAACACTCCTCAAACAGCCCTAGAACAACACAGAACGTAATAGAAATAGCGACCATCGCCGCACTCTTCAGCACCACCACCCACGTTCCCCGTCCCCTGAACGCCACGCTCGTGCAACAACAACTCTATCATCATCATCATCAACAGACCACACACCCAACCACACGCACCCCCTTACTCCACACCAATCGCAATAGCCTGCAGCGCCCAATCCATAAACCCAGCATTCGTATCCAAGATATTAGTATTAAACTCCGCAGCGGTGGGATAGAAGTTGCCCGAAGGCGCAAACTCCAACGTATACCCATACACCTTATTAACCCCACTCTTAGCCCAATACCTACTGAACGAGTAATCATCACTCGCGCCCGAAGTCGCATACAGACCGACCGCCTGCTGCGCCGAATACGAGCGGCCCCCAACGGCCTTCATGGAGTTCACCATTGCGGTAGCGACGGAGCGGATATTGGTCAGATCGGTGGCGGGGATGTATTCCTTGTATGTGGAGTCGCCGGTGGGGCCGCGCTTGCCGTCGTAGGCGGAGTTGAGGAAGTTCATGGTGGAGGTGGTGGATTGGTCGTCGTCGTCGCCCCAGCTGTAGAGCACGTCGCCGACGGCGGAGTGGATGTCCATGAACCAGCGGATCTTGGGGAAGGAGTCGTAGATGGAGACGTGGTTCTTCGTCTCGGGCTCCGAGGCGGCGGCGGTGCCGTAGAAGGTTTCGGAGCTGGGCGAGGTCGAGGCCGGCGCGGTGGACGAGTCAAAGTACTTGGGAAAGTTCCACAGGAAGTCGAAGTTGCGGTTGATGTCGACGCCGACGGCGGCGCCGCTGGAGCCGGACTTTGTGTTGCGGTTCTTGCGCCAGTTGGAGCCGGTGGATTGGTCGTATGTGACGCCGTCCGGGTTGACGAGCGGGAAGAAGACGATGCCGGCGTTGAGGATGGTGGTGACTTGGGCGTTGGTGTAGGTCTTCTTGCCGTATGTCAGGCCGGACCCGGCCTTTTGCGCGGCGAGCAGGTCCGAGATCCAGTAGATGATATTGTCCGGTCCGCCGCGCTCGCGGGCGTGCACGCCGGCGCTGAAGTACAGGTGGTAATTGCTCTTGTCGGTGCCGGCGCCCACGTAGCCGGCCGTCTGGGTTGCGCCGTTGAAGGTCTTATAGGGAAGGGTGATTAGGTTGACGCCGTACACGCTGTTGAGGCCCTTGAGCGCGCTGCCAATCTCGTTTACGTTCATGATGCTCGCAATCGTGCTGCCTGCTGCCTTTGTGCCCAGCCCACTCGGGGCAATTGTCCCGCCACTGAAGCGATCGCCCGTGCCAATCGGTGCGGTGGCAGCACGCTTGCTGAAGGGCGTCTCGCGGACCAGTTTGATGTCAGAGAGTTGGTCATACTCGCTCTGCACATGGGAGATCTGCTCCTCGGTCAAGAAGGCGCGCAGCTTGAAGCGGCCATCCTCGAGCGGGTGTGCGACGGCACGGCAGCCAAAGTCGAATGTGTCGTTTGCGACGAGGGCCTGGAAATGTGCGGCGCTGGGTGCAGTGAAGTGTACAGGAAGAAGCTCAGCGAGCACGAGTGTGCTCTGCAGGATGAGCGATGCAATCAGCGAGTACTTCATCTTGACTCTTGAGTGCGACAAGAAGTGAAGACTGAATAGATATGGGCCCGTGAAGAGTGATTAGGAGAAAGCGAGGCGGGAACAACGTAGGGTATTTAAATACCTTTGCCTCTCGCCCACTCACCCACAACACACAACCAAACAGACGACGTAACTATACACACGCGGCGGCGAATCCCTAGGATGGCTGTTCCTCACACCAGCCAATCACAGCCGCCGAACAGACTAAGCATTTACAGTGTTTCCTATCGCGGTATAGCGCGATCGGCTACCTTCCGTTTCGGACACAAGCTCCGCATCGACCACCTGCCTTAGCCGTCGATCGGTGCCTGCCGCTATTAGATAAGAAGGAGCCACAGCGGGTCAAGTATAAGAGACTGTTGTCCCCATAGTGATATATAGTCCTGCAACTTTTTGCCAGATGCCTCGTTTGGCACAAGCTCTTTGCTACACTAATATGCCGCCTAACTTATGGATAGGACGCGCTTATGGAGGCCTTCTGCATGCGGTTGGACGCTGCTTATCTTGACGTGCAAGGGAGGCCCAGTGGTTCAGTGGTCCGAGGCGGTCAATCAGTCCCATGTCGCGTAGTGCTGATATTGCATGACTATGCGTAATGCCTTGAAGGGTGTGTATATGTGGTGCACACAAAGGCACGATACGCAGTCGCTGGAGATCATGTCGAGAGAGGAGATATAGAGTAAATGGTGTGCGAAGCTGCGGCTTTGCCCCAAGAGCAAATACACGTATTCGTGTACTGGGCGATGGGCGAAGTGACCTTCCATTCAATAAACCTTGGGAACAAACTTCGGAAATGTCCGGCAGCAATGATCAGCACGTGACGACTCAGGTATCCACTGCAATCCACTACAATACAGTCAGTCCTCGGCCAAGGTGGATCTTGAGAATATGTAAGAATTATATTACTTTAACATGTGTCGCTAATCGATATATATGCGAAACAGTGCCCCGATACAGACAGACGTGTTTGTACATGATCCCTGCAGATCGACCTCGCTAATAGCAAACTGTTGACTGTTGCAAAGACTGAGTTGTAGCTCGTCAATTTCGGGACACAGACATCCATGTCTCAAAGTCAAATGCAGAAAATTATTGCTCCAACGCCGATAATGCATGCGATGATATTCCGAACGCCGATATGATGCTTGCTTGACCTAGGCCCCTCAGACTGACGATCGCTCTCCTGGCATGGAGTAATTCGAGCCGTCGGTTGGTGAGTTTTGCATGGCCTGGTCAGTGACAGACGGCGGCACCTTATTTTCGTCGTGGGCAGCTTCTTGTGGGTGCACAACAGTGTCTGTGCTCTCTTTCCTCGACCCCATCTTGGCCTTTCCCTTCTCTTTCTTGCTCTTCCGTCTTTGCAGCTGCAGGCCGGTAAGTACAGCTGACTGATTCGCACTTGTGTCGCCAATGCTGCTCCTTATACTCGTGGCCTTGCTCGCCGTCTTGCTGTCTCGTACGCGCCATTCCTTGACTTCCCGGACCACTTCTCGGAAGCCTTCCTCCAGCTGACCCATGCGGGCAAGCATAATCCGGTCAACCATCTTCCCCTCCTCTTGTTTCTGTCTTTGTGCGTATTCCATCTGCGTTCCAAAGCTAGCAGCCATACCTCCCAATAGATTGTCGGGAACGTGCCGATTGTCTCCAATATCTGATGCCAAGTCCAGAGCCCGTGCATTCATCGATGGGATCCTGTCGCGGGCGTTGAGGTGTATAAACGTTGCGGAAGTCGGTGTAGTCTGGAAATTGTCACGTTCAGGCATGATTGGGCGCGGTTTCGAGCGGACTGGTTCTGCCATCTGTCCATGGCGGACTGGCGTTCGAGTACCTGTGCCAGCCCGAGTAGATGGCCGTGCCGTTGGTGGCCGTTTGTTCGGGGATATGGAACGTGGGTGGGAAGGTAGCTTTGGCTGGATGCTGGCTGGAGCGATACTCGGCACGTAGAGGATGGTATTGGTCGAGATATTCCTGGTATGCCCACCAGGTCGATAAGAGGATGACAGAGTTCTTGATTCCATCGAGCCAGGAAATTTTGGCGACTTGTGCTTGGACGTCGCTGGCGTTCGGAAATAGTCTTCGGAGCCTGAGCCATCATGGTCCTTTTCACCAAGCGCTATCTCCTTGTCTGATGCCTCGTCGTTCTGATCATCGATATCGTCATCAAGCGTGATCAACTCGTCATCTCCATCCTCGCCTTCTTCTCCTTCGAGAGGCTTGCCCATAATCACATCAGGTTCGTCCACTTCTAAGATGGGATCTTCAACAGGCTTAGCTTTTAGATCCTCGGGATCCGACGTGAAAGATCTTTGTATACGTGGGAACCTCATAGGCAAACGGTCAACTGTTTTTGTGCGACGCTGTTTTGCGCGGCGGGTCTCTAATCGATCGAGGACAGACCTCGGTTGCTCAAGTGGTGGTGATGCACCGCCTTCATTATCAGCGCGTTGCATCCAGTCATGCACAACATGCGTCGATCGTCTTTGGAGATCTTGGGGCGCAGGAGATTGCTTGATAGTGTCACCTCGAAAAGGTCGACGGAAGACCTCCTCGAGCGCCCGATCTTGCCGGAAAGTGGCCATTGATGGTTCTCTAATGTGTGGACTGAATAGATCGTTGCCGCGAATGCTGAAGGCGGGTATCCTGTGGGGTTGGCGTCCGCGTTGCTCCACGAGATCGGTTGGTCCCTCGGTGCGGCGTGCGAGAACGAGTCTTTCGTAGAGGAAGATAAAGAAGAGGATTCCAAAATGTGTGATCTTGATCAAGGTTCGATTCATCTTCACGTATTGTCGGAACGGCATGGCGTGCCGCAGAGGTGATAATAGCCATCCAAGAACGTTGGTCGGTGCTACGTATGAGAATAAGGCGTCTGACTTGACCATGGAGATGGCGTTGACGGCAAAAAGAAATTGATGTTCTTCGTTAGCATTCCGTACAATTGCCATGAATGAATTTGTTAACACCTTGCACGGTCAGTCAATGTATCGCCAACGAGACAATAGTACATACAGTGATGAGAATGGTAACGATGAGAAAATGGCATATTATGAGGAACAACGTCAATATCGCTTTGCCCAACGGGTTGTAGTTCTCCCAGATGTCCCATGCTGCTGGTGTGAAGCCCTTGAAAGACATGTTAGCTAGATTATCTCTGCACAAGTGATTTGAATTACCATTAGCATCTGAAACAGTGCATATGCCGCACTGCCTGCATTAGGAATCTCGTCGCTAAAGGACAATGTAAATGCCACGAAGAAGCCACTGCAGCTAATGAGAATCAAGATCAGCACTGCGGCAAGGTCGAGCGCCATCATGCGGAAAGCGATCAGAAGCTGGGAGAAGTATCGGTAATGATCCAGGACGGAGAACAGTCTTGGGAATAGAAGCACAGCAGTAGAGCCAAGAACATCGTAAGCCATCGATGCAACATGGTGTTTCCGGGCATCTGGCATGATAATTCCGTACAGTCTTAACACATAATACACGACGAACAAGAGCAAAATGCCCAGGTCGAAAGCGTTCCAGACACTCATGATATACAGGCCGAAACCTTGCTCAGTGAAACCCACGACTTCGTCAAGCATGAAGCCAGCACTCCAGAACCAGAATACCACTTCGAGGGCAGTGATGTCCAGCGACTTCTGCGCCAACACGGCAACAAAGAGGCCAAGCATGACAGCAAACGAGAAGGTCGAAAACAGCTGGCGATAACGCGGGACACGTAAACGTGATAACTTGAACAGTGAGGCATCATGCGGATCATAGAGGGTGACTGAGCGACGGACAAATTCTGGGTTGCTCGAGGAGACAGCCTGATTCATTAGAGCGGTGGCAGTAGTACTCGGTTTAGAAGGAGTTTGGTTCGAGTTACTGTTGGCAAGAGTGCCGTAGTCTCGTTGTCCAGTTGCTCTTTGCTTAGGAGGCTTTCGATGCAAATAATCTGCGGCTGAGTGAAAGACTATGGTACCTGCCCACACAGCCTCTAGCTGTTGTACAATGAGTGGATGTGCTAGGAACTTCTTTGCTTGGGCTCGGATTGCAATCTCGATGGTAGAAATGCGAGTCAATCTAGCAGTGTTTGAGCTCACTCGACCGGTGGCCGGATTTTGCAAACCTTGGAGCGGGTCGAAGTCATAGAATAGAGCATCTATGAGTTCTCGCGTCGAGTATTCCTTGAGCAAACGTACTGCTAGCAGCTCACACAGCACAGCTCTTGTCTGACTTACGCCCATATTGCCAGGGTTTGTCTGTGCTTCCTTTTCAAATTGTAGGCAATTGCTTATCAGGGCGTAAAGGGTGGCTCTAGTGAAGAAGGAGGCGCGAATCTGCTGCTGGATGGGCTTGACGAGGAATTGCGAGACCTGCGGAGAGCGCAGCTGATCCCACGAGATTGTGGTCTCACATTTCTGCATCACTAGCATTCTCAACGAGTGTGTGGTATTGTATGTAGGTAGACGATCTAAGGGGTGGGTTAGCAATGGACTATTGAAGTAGCAGAAAGGAGGATGATACCGAGATGCTCAGAAGAGAAGATGGGCAGCAGAGGCTCGTCCTCTTCGTCCTCGTCGTCGACGCCATAGTCATCGCCAGCAGGACCTCCGTTGTCAGACGCGTCCTCACCATCTTGTCGATCGTCAAGAACACGGCTCATGTAGGGCGAGGAGTATGGCGAATGCTCAGATGCACGGCGTTTGCGACCACGCCTCAGCAATGACGCAAACATTGCAGCAGTTGAACGACGCGACGAGATCCCAGAGGAGAGTTGAATGTGACGCGCAGACGAGAAGCAGAAGTTCAAGATGGACGGAGTGCACGCAGCAGCAGCACAGCAGCATCAAAGAGCACAGCGTCTGGCATAAAATTGACACAAGGGGAATAAAGCCCACTTAATCAAGGGCCTCCAGGTGAACCGGTGACTTCCCCCTCTACGGCATGGCGGCGGCGGGAAGAGAGAAGCATAGGTAAAGGCAAAAGATGGATGGCAGTTGGTTAGTTAGTTAGCCGGAGATTAGAACCAAGATCAAGACGGTGAAGAGTGAGAAGAGTAGTAGGTAGTAGGTAGTAGTATTATCAGTGTATGTCAGTAAGTGAGTGAGTGAATGTGCAGCAGTGAGCTTATCGGCAGAACGCCTTTGATGCACGCCATGACAGTCGCTAGTCTTTAGCTGCAGCATCCTTGATCCGATGCACTGCATTCGCAGCCTGCAAACTGAACCCCCCAAACTGCAAGTCAGCGCAACCTCGAAGTCGTCCAGTCAGAGCAGACCGTGTTACCCTCACCGCTCCTCATTCCGTCATACAAATGCCCGCCTGACATCCATCTCCGTGATGCGCGGCGGTTGTGCTGAATCCCAAATCGCCATCGTGGGGATGCGACGTCTGGGCCCCATCCCTCTCCAGCCAACTGCATCCATCATGATCTGCCTCGACTACGCTTGCACGTCCGTTTTCTGCACTCGATCCGAGCTCTATACCATCAAGGATGGTCCTTGTCACGCAAATCCAGCTGCTCCAGCGATGGGACGCAAACGCCAGCACCGCGCACAATGTCGACGGCAACGGTATGCTCAGACCCAAGACTGTGGATATGATTTCACGTGCTGTGCTACATCAGATCCTTGATCACGATCAGCGCCGAGTATACAGTTTAAGAAAACGGGGAATGGCAGACTTTAGACCATTTGACTGGCTCGCTTGGACTATTCCACGCATCACAACGCCTCTGGAGTAGTTTGTCGGAACGTGTGGGCATGACGTGCATCGTCGCAGTAGTAGTGATGAGTAGTATCAGTAGTACATAGACAGCATAGTAGTGGTATAACGCCCGGGTATCTGCAGGAAATGAATCCGTGGCCTGTATAATGTGCAAAGGGATGTTGAACATGCCAGCTGACAGCGTCCACAAAGAACGCACAGTAGTAGTACCCATGATAGCTACCACCAACTCCCCTTACCTACGAAGGTACGTACCTGGCCAGGTACAGGTACCTACCTAGGTATGCTGGTAACGTAGACTGCTCATTGAGTACTCCACGACTACCTACATATTACCACCTGTACAGTGTAGACAGTACAAGTACTATTTGTGTACTCTTATGTAGCCTAGCTAATAAGGTTAATAGTCGCGCAAAAAGCCAAGGATACCCCACACTTCAACCCGGCGCCGTCCCCCGCCTGCATGTCTCGCTGCCTCTAGGCACAGGTTTTTTTTTTCGAGCCAAAAACTTTTGCTTCCTTACATGCACCATCTATCAGGTCAACGTCTTGTATATCTATATTCACTACTGGGTGTTCGCTCCTCTCCAGGAGTAAACCGCCGTCGTTGGAATTACAATATCTAGTTTACAACAGAAACCTACTAGATACTGCTGAAGACCTTCGTAACCCACCTGCCGCTCGTTCATTGCTCGTCGTTTCAATCGAGGACCATGCCTCCGTCAAGTGCCAATGAGCTGTCCATGGCACTCGAGCTCGAGGACGGCTATGTCTGCAAGGGCCATAGCTTTGGTGCTCCCAAGAGCATAGCTGGAGAGCTAGTCTTTCAGACTGGTATGGTCGGTTACCCTGAATCTATTACAGATCCTTCCTATAGAGGTCAAATCTTGGTCGTTACCTTCCCACTGGTCGGCAACTACGGTGTGCCATCTCGAGAGGAACAAGACGAACTGCTCGAGGGCATCCCCGCACATTTCGAGTCCTCCCAAATCCATATCGCGGGTCTGGTGATCGCTGCATATGCAGGCGAGGAGTTCTCACATCACCTTGCTACTTCGTCCCTAGGCCAATGGCTGCAAGAGCAAGGCGTGCCGGCCATTTATGGCGTCGACACTCGTGCACTTACGAAAAGAATACGCGAGCACGGAAGCATGCTTGGCAAGATACTCAAGCAAAAGAATACAGTCGCCGGGGCAATCTCTGGCCTGTTGAGCAGCATCTCAAACGGTGTACGGACAGACGTGCCCCAGAAGAGTCTAGTGGCTGGCACAGAGACTCCTCAAATTCGGGATTGGAAGTTGGACTATGAGGATTTGGCTTGGGTCAATCCCAACGAGAAGAATCTCGTTGCTGAAGGTACCTTTTGACGTTTCCTGACCACTGCAAGTCAGTACTAAAACCAGAATAGTGTCGACCAAAGAGCCCAAAATATATCCCCCAAGCAAAAGTACTGCCCTTCGCCACCCCTCTGGTCGTCCTGTACGTGTCATATGCGTCGATGTCGGCCTCAAATATAATCAATTGAGATGTTTGGTAAAAAGAGGGGTGGAAGTGGAGGTAGTTCCTTGGGACTACGACTTTCCAAAGCTCGCAGGAAAGAGCTACGACGGCCTATTCATATCGAACGGTCCTGGTGACCCAGCTATGATGCAGTCCACAGTGAAACATATCGCTACTGCCATGGACGAGGCGAGAACTCCCATCTTTGGTATCTGTCTTGGTCATCAGCTGCTGGCTCGTGCAGCAGGGGCTAGCACTTTAAAGATGAAATTCGGCAACCGTGGACACAACATCCCATGCACAAACCAAATCTCTGGAAGATGTTACATTACATCGCAGAATCACGGCTTTGCTGTCGATTCTGCAACTCTACCAGCACAATGGGAAGAGTTGTTCAGGAACGCGAATGATCAATCCAATGAAGGGATCCGACATGTATCGCGACCATACTTTAGTGTCCAGTTCCATCCTGAGCACGCACCAGGACCACAAGACACTGAGTTCCTCTTTGACGTGTTCATTAACAGCATTCAGAAGGTACTTCAGGACTCCAAAGCTCTCGCAGAACCAGTAGTTTTCCCAGGGGGCCAAGTCAGAGACGTTGAGCAAAAGTTTCCCCGATTGCATCCCAAGAAAGTGCTGGTCTTGGGCAGTGGTGGTCTGAGTATTGGCCAGGCTGGTGAGTTCGATTACTCAGGCAGTCAAGCCATCAAGGCTCTGAAGGAGGAGGGTATCTATACCATCTTGATCAACCCAAACATTGCAACCATTCAGACCTCCAAGGGCTTGGCGGACCAAGTCTACTTCCTTCCGGTAACGCCGGAATTTGTACGGAAAGTCATCAAGCAAGAGCGTCCAGACGCTATATATTGCACATTCGGCGGCCAAACAGCGTTACAGGTCGGTATCCAGCTCAAAGACGAGTTCGAGGAGCTTGGCGTTCAGGTCCTTGGAACTCCAATTGACACCATCATCACAACTGAAGATCGAGAGTTATTTGCTCGTAGCATGGAATCTATAGGGGAGAAGTGTGCCAAGTCCGCATCTGCTAATTCCGTTGATGAAGCGATGCGTGCTGTCAAGGGCATCGGGTTTCCTGTCATTGTCCGCGCTGCATATGCTCTCGGTGGACTCGGAAGTGGCTTTGCTGATAACGAGGAGCAGTTGTTGGACCTCTGCAACAAAGCATTCGCTGCCAGTCCACAAGTCCTGATCGAACGCAGCATGAAAGGCTGGAAGGAGATTGAGTATGAAGTTGTTCGCGATGCCCGCGACAACTGCATCACTGTCTGTAACATGGAAAACTTCGATCCTCTTGGAATCCACACTGGTGACTCCATTGTTGTAGCGCCATCGCAGACGCTGTCTGACGAAGATTACAACATGCTGCGAACCACTGCTGTCAACGTCATTCGTCATCTTGGCGTCGTCGGTGAATGCAACATTCAGTACGCCTTGAATCCATTCTCAAAAGAATATTGCATTATTGAGGTCAACGCTCGATTGTCGCGCTCTTCCGCGCTTGCCTCGAAGGCCACTGGGTATCCATTGGCGTTCGTAGCAGCCAAGCTAGGCTTGAACATCCCACTCAACGAGATCACGAACTCTGTCACTAAGTCTACTTGCGCTTGCTTTGAGCCGTCGCTTGACTATGTGGTCGTGAAGATCCCTCGATGGGACTTGAAGAAATTCCTGCGGGTTTCTACTCTCCTTGGATCCTCAATGAAGAGTGTTGGTGAGGTGATGAGCATCGGTCGTACCTTTGAAGAGGCTATCCAAAAGGCCATTCGTGCCATTGACCCCAGCAACATGGGCTTCAACGATACGGAAGCACTCATGAGCATCGACACAGAGCTTCAGACCCCCTCTGACCAGAGACTGTTTGCGCTTGCAAACGCGATGCACAATGGATACTCCGTCGACAAGATTTGGGAAATGACCAAAATTGACAAATGGTTTCTCAGTCGGCTGAAAGGTCTGAGTGACTTCGGGAAGATCATGACTAAATATACGAGAAGCAACATCACTCCCGACCTGTTCCGCCAAGCAAAGCAACTCGGCTTCTCGGACAGGCAACTCGCCAAATTTTGGAGTTCCAACGAGCTAGCAGTCCGCAGGTCTCGCGTTGATGCGGGCATCATGCCTGTTGTCAAGCAGATCGATACTGTTGCTGCTGAGTTCCCCGCTCACACCAATTATCTGTACTTGACATATAATGGTGTGGAGAATGACATCGACTTCAATGACCACGGAGTGATGGTACTGGGTTCAGGCGTTTACCGCATCGGGTCTTCAGTCGAATTCGATTGGTGCTCCGTACGAGCTATCCGAACGCTCAGGGAACAAGGCTTTAAAACTACCATGGTCAACTATAATCCGGAAACAGTATCAACTGACTATGATGAAGCTGATCGACTGTACTTCGAGAACATCACACTTGAATGCGTTCTTGACATCTACACACTAGAGAACTCCAGTGGGGTCATTCTTTCCATGGGAGGTCAAACACCCAATAATATTGCACTGCCGCTTCATCGAATGAACGTCAAGATTCTTGGCACATCTCCCGAAATGATTGACACGGCAGAAAACCGCTACAAGTTCTCGCGCATGCTGGACAGAATCTCGGTGGACCAGCCGGCGTGGAAGGAGTTGACCAGTCTTGAGGAAGCAAGACAATTCTGCAATAAAGTATCATACCCTGTCCTGGTCAGGCCCTCATATGTCTTGTCCGGTGCTGCCATGAACACCGTCTATTCTGAGCACGATCTGGCCAACTACCTCAACCAGGCAGCAGATGTCTCACCCGAGCACCCAGTGGTCATAACGAAGTACATTGAGAACGCCAAGGAGATTGAAATGGATGCTGTTGCTCGTAATGGCAAGATGATTGGCCATTTTATCTCTGAGCATGTTGAGAATGCTGGTGTACATTCTGGAGACGCGACACTAATACTGCCACCTCAAGACTTGGACCCTGAGACTGTTCGCCGCATTGAGGATGCAACACGAAAAATCGGGAATGCATTGAATGTTACTGGACCGTACAACATCCAATTCATTGCAAAGGACAATGACATCAAAGTAATCGAGTGCAACGTGCGAGCATCTCGATCGTTTCCTTTTGTGTCCAAGACCATGGGTGTCGATCTTATCGAGATGGCGACGAAAGCGATGGCTGGTCTGGAGCTTGTGGAATATCCCCATGTTACCCTTCCTGCGGACTACGTTGGCGTGAAAGTGCCTCAGTTCTCGTTTTCACGGCTGTCCGGTGCTGATCCTGTACTTGGTGTTGAAATGGCTTCCACAGGAGAGGTTGCGTGCTTTGGTCGGACCAAATACGAGGCCTATTTGAAAGCTCTCATTTCCACGGGATTCCGTCTGCCCAAGAAGAACATTCTCTTGTCGATCGGCTCCTTCAAAGACAAGCTCGAGATGTTGCCGTCTATCCAGAATCTGCACAAGATGGGCTACAATCTGTTTGCAACTGCAGGTACAGCGGACTACATTGCCGAGCATGGCATTCCTGTCAAATTCTTGGAAGTTCTTGGTGGATCTGGTGTCAGTGACAAGGATCAAAAGCCAGAGTACTCCTTGATGCAGCATTTGTCCAACAATCTCATCGATCTCTACATCAATCTTCCATCGAGCAACCGGTTCCGTCGACCAGCGAACTATGTCAGCCGTGGTTACCAAACTCGTCGTATGGCTGTTGACTACCAAACTCCATTAGTCACCAACGTCAAGAACGCAAAACTTCTCATCGAGGCTCTAGCGCGCCATTACGACCTCGAGATCAGCAAGGTCGACTACCAGACATTCGCCGATGGCAAGATGGGGTCGGACGCACATGGAGCTTTGCAGCTGCAACGGCCTAACGCTTCACAATCTCTTGGACAGCTACTCGCGCGATCTCCTTTCAAGGGCAAGAATGTTACTAGCGTCAAGCAGTTCAGCCGAACTGATCTCCATCTTCTGTTCACTGTTGCTCAAGAGATGCGGCTAGGTGTTCAGAGGCAAGGGTGCCTCGATATCCTTAAAGGGCGTGTACTTTGCACAATGTTCTACGAGCCGTCCACGAGGACTTCAGCATCGTTTGATACTGCAATGAAGCGTCTCGGAGGTCAGGTCGTGACTATCACTGAGCAGCATTCAAGCACTAAGAAGGGCGAGACATTGGCTGACACCATCCGTACTCTGGCGTGCTACGCAGACGGCATCGTTCTTCGTCATCCTTCTGAAGATTCGGCCGATATTGCATCCAAGTTCTCCGACGTACCCATAATCAATGCTGGTAATGGATCCAAGGAGCATCCAACCCAGGCTCTCCTGGACATATTCACTATCAGAGAAGAGCTTGGAACAGTCAATGGCCTCAACATCACCTTTGTCGGTGACCTGAAGTACGGACGCACAGTTCACTCGCTTTGTGAGCTGTTGAAACTTTACGAGGTGAACATCACACTGGTGTCTCCTAAGTCGCTAGCAATGCCCAAGAAGGTGTGCGATGCGCTTCGTTCCCGGGGTCAACTGAAGGAAGAGCTTTTCGAGCTCACGCCCGAAGTAGTCAGTCGCACGGATGTACTTTACTGTACTCGTGTCCAGAAGGAGAGATTCGACGATCTTGCGCTGTACGAGAAGATCAAGGACAGTTTCGTGGTCAACAACGAGGTGATGAAGCATGCCAAGGGCGAAGGGCATATGATCGTGATGCACCCCTTGCCTAGGAACAATGAGATTGCCGAAGAGGTAGACTTTGACCAGAGGGCTGCATATTTCCGACAGGTAAGCTGCTGATACTTGATGATTACTCGATCCTTGCTAATGTTTGTGATAGATGCGCTACGGGCTGTACACCCGCATGGCGTTATTAGCGATGGTCATGGCTCCTTGAAATCTAATAAATAGTGGAGAAAATCTGAATGGCAATGTAATCCGCAAGGACGTAGAAAAGTGCAATTGGCGTTTGGCATCGTAGTTGAATTTATCTGGCTCACGGCATTTATACTGCGCGAATGGCGTTTCATAGATACCACAGGGGCTCTGCGAAGAGCATTGCATTGTTTACATGTACGAGTGTTATGATGATAATACCAAGAATAAAGCATGATAGTTGCGTAGCGTGCGTTGCGTGCCGGCGTGTTTCTATGTATTTGTGTTGAGGCTGGGCTTACCATTTGCGTCACGATGTTGGTGCGTGCTTGTGGCGCCAAAGTGTGGCTATCCATGGCTGTGACTGTGGCTGGTGTGTCGTTGCACTCAACAGCCAGCTGCAACGTCATTCCACAGCTAAAGAGGCCAGGAAAAGCTTCATTTAGCTCACGCGAAGAACAACCCCATTCCCTATTCCCAACCCATTTGCCCTTCTTTTCCACAACTCCTTCACCTCTGACTGCTATACTTCGTTGCATCTCTTCTACCCTATTACTGCATGTATTGAGCGTCTCTCACGTCTTCAATTGGTCATCTCCGCCAGCTGTTCCCTGCAGCTCTTCCCAGGATGCTCGCCCGACGAGCTGGGCTCAACGGAACGCGACCATTCCAAAGAGCTGTTGCATCTACCCTCAACATCTCCAGGGCGCCAGTGCAATCCACTGGATATGCATATAGATTCCTTTCCCAGAAAGCTGGCTCTTCGTCCTTGCTTAAGAGACCGCAATTATCGCACCTGAGCCGCTGGCGCTGGCGGACTTGTCCGGTCTCATTCTCGCAAATACGCATCATCACCACCCACCCTCTACCGCAATCTAAGTCACGCGTTCTACGGTGGATATACAGAAGTCTTGCATACTTGGGCTTCTTTGTCCTTTTCTCTGGTGGATGTGTGGTCGCCTTCTTTGTCTACGACTACAACACCTACAACGAGAATCCGTTCGAGGAAGAGCTGAAGATCTCTGAGCTTGCCCTATCACCCCGCCGTGGTGGACCCAAGAACCTCCCAATCGCAGAACACTTGCTCGATGACGATGATGACGAGAAGAAGAAAGAGAAGAAGCACAAGCCCAAGCTGGTTGTCTTGGGCACTGGTTGGGGCAGTGTCGCACTGTTGAAGCAGATAAACCCGGACGACTATCATATCGTTGTGGTCAGCCCGTCGAACTACTTCTTGTTTACGCCCATGCTGCCCAGTGCCACGGTCGGGACATTGGAGCTGAGGAGCTTGGTTGAGCCGATCAGAAGGATCGTGGGAGCAGTAAAGGGACATTTCATGAAAGCATCTGCGGAAGACGTGCTCTTCTCGGAGAAATTGGTGGAATGCTCTGCCGTTGGTCCAAATGGTGAAAAGCAACACTTTTACCTACCGTACGACAAGCTCATCATTGGAGTTGGTAATGCTGGCCTGTTGATGCGGACTTGGATTAAGCTGAACATTTTAGGATCTGTGACCAACCCTCATGGCGTCAAAGGCCTGGAGAACTGCCATTTCCTGAAGGATATTACCGATGCCCGACTAATAAGAAACACCGTCGTTCGGAATCTGGAGCTGGCATCTCTTCCAACAACTTCAGACCAAGAGCGACGGAGATTGCTCTCGTTCGTGGTCTGCGGAGGAGGTCCAACTGGTGTCGAATTCGCAGCCGAGCTATTCGACATGCTTAACGAGGACTTATGCCGTTATTACCCCAAGATCCTCCGATCTGAAATCTCAGTACACCTAATACAAAGTCGAGGGCATATCCTGAACACCTATGATGAAGCGCTATCGAAATATGCAGAAGTAAGTATTTGGACCATATAACTATGGATTTGTGGCTTATAGGCATCAACAGGACCGATTTGCACACGACCAAGTCGATGTGCTCACCAATTCACGAGTAGCGGAAGTTCAGGCCGATAAGATCCTGTTCACTCAAAAGGACGAGAACAACCAAGTCATCACCAAGGAGATTCCAATGGGATTCTGCCTTTGGTCGACTGGAGTTTGTATGTATCATGCCGTCTCGTCCCAGACAATGCTAACTCTTCCTAGCACAAACCGAGTTTTGCCAGAAGCTCGCTAAGAAGCTTGACGGGCAAAACAACCGGCACGCTCTTGAAACCGATACCCACCTCCGCCTGATCGGTGCACCACTCGGTGACGTCTACGCCGTCGGCGACTGTTCCACCGTACAGAACAACATATCCGACCATATAGTCACCTTCCTACGCACGCTCGCCTGGGAAAAGGGCCAGGACCCGGAGCGCATGCAGATCAGCTTCTCCGACTGGCGCAAGGTCGCCCAGCGCGTCAAGGCACGCTTCCCCCAAGCCAGCGACCACCTCCGCCGCCTCGACAAGCTCTTCCAGCAGTACGACAAGGACCAATCCGGCACCCTCGACTTTGGCGAGCTCCGCGAACTCCTCGCCCAGATCGACAGCAAACTCACCAGCCTCCCCGCCACCGCCCAGCGCGCCCACCAGCAGGGCCAGTACCTCGCCCGCAAACTCACCCGCATGGCCCAGATGGCGCCCGGCATGAAGCTGAACGAGGTCAGCTACGGCGATCTCGACGAGGCCGTCTACAAGGCGTTTGAGTACAAGCACATGGGCAGTCTGGCGTATGTCGGGAATGCGGCGGTGTTTGACTTTGGCGGCATCAGCTTCTCGGGCGGGCTGTTGGCCGTGTATCTCTGGCGGAGTGTGTATTTTGCGCAGAGCGTGAGCTTGCGGACGAGGATGCTGCTGGCGATGGATTGGAGTAAGCGGGCGATGTTTGGGCGCGATTTGATGAATTTTTAGTTTAGTGGTGGTGTGGTGTGGTATGCTTGGGATGGGGTGATATGGGATGGTGTCACTTCGTACTCTGGTGCGCATAGAGAGATGGTCATCACAATACAAAAACAAGGCAGTACATTTAAGTTCTGAGCTTTCGACGTTTTCACACCCAGACCAGACTACAGGACCATTATCTGTCTATGTATGTGTGTATGTGTGTATGTCTATGGACACTACGCCATCGCGCCTTTCGAACGCTTCTTGACCCGTTCCACCAATTTCCCGATATCCTCGTCTGCCTTTCCGTTTCCCTCGCCCTCTTGCTTCCCTCCATCTCTCTTCCTCTTACCCATACCAACGCCCTCATCCTCACCATCCCTCTTATCCCTCCCCCCCTCCTTCCTCCTCCTCCTCCCCTCCTCCAGCACAGCCTTCATCCCCGCCGTGCTCCTGAACCGCGGATTCGTCGGATCGATCGCAAACTCATGGCTCTCAAACAGCGGCGCGAAGCGTGCGTCTGCGACGTCCATTTTGAAGCCTGGTTGGAGGGCGCTGTTCGTTTCGTGTTCGTGTTCGTGTTCGTTTTCGTCTTGGTGGGATTTTTTGTGTTTGTTGTGTTTGTTGTGGGGGGTTTTGTGGGATTTGCGGGCGGCGCGCTTTTCGGCGCGTTCGATGGCGGTCATGTTGAAGTGGTTTAGGGGCTGGGTGGATGGGTCGTCGGGGGTGAGGAGGAGGGAGAGTTCGGCGGGGGTTGTTGTTGTTTGGGACGTTGAGGGAGTGGGTTTAGGGGTGGGTTTGCGGGGTTTGGGTTTGGTGGTTGTTTGGAGGGGGTTTGTGAAGAAGGGGTCGTTGAAGCCTAGGTCTGCTGTTGGGGTTTGGTCGGTGGACGAGAGGTCTTTGGGGTTTGAGGTTTGTTTTTTGGTGGATGTTGATGTTGACTTGGGGGCTTGGTCGGGGAAGGTGATTTGTACGCCGCCGTCGGAGGAGTCGGAGTCGCTGTTGGAGTCGATGTTGGCTGCGTCGTCATTGTCATCGGCAGCAGCAGGGGTGCGGGCTGCGCGTTCTTCCTTGCGGCGTTGTTTGCGCTCGCGCTCTTTGCGCTTGTATTTCTCGATTGTCGTCTCGTCTTTGGGAGGAGGCTCGTTGGCGAAGATGGATTTGGGCTTGGATGCAGCAGACGATGAGGATGCGGATAGACCTGGTGTGAATGTGATTTCCATGTCGCCCACGGGCGCATCTGCGGCGCGCTTCTTCGCCTTGTAGGAAGACTCGTTGAGGCCGAGTTTTGCGCGTAGAGCGGACGCGCGATCTTTCTTGCCGGGTGGCTTTTTCGTGGGCATTTGGGCGAGCGAGCCGGGGTCGATGGCTGCTGCTGCTGCTGCTTCTTCTGCGTCATCGTCGGATTCTTCGGACGAGGAGCCGCTGCCGATGTATGCCTGGAGGTCGTTTTCGTCAATCTCGGCGCGGCTGAAGGCGCGCTTTTGGGCTTCCTTGCGGGACGTGTCATCGGCGTCCCAGGTCAGCTTGACTTTGCTGTGGGTGAGGGCGTCGGTGACGAATTCGTTGGGCTTGTAGCCGTCCGGGACGGCAGTGCATGTGTCGTGCGGCTTGTCTGTCTCAAAGGAGACCTCGTCGGGAATGAAGCGCAGGTCGAAGAAGTTTGCGGAGGATAGGTACTCGCGGCCGTCCATGGCGGTGTAGAGGGCTTCGCCGACAGCAGGGGAGGAGGTGGTTATGACGGCATAGTAGTATTTGAGGCGACGCATCTGGTATTCGCGGAGGGCAGAGGAATTAAATTCTTCGCCGGTATCCTCAGCGAGCAGGTCTTTCTTAATTTCTTCATTCTCAGCGTCCGAGTCCGAGTCTGAGTCCGCAGCGTCTGCTTTTGATGCGGCAAAGATCTCCTTCGGCGGACCCTCGAGCTCTTCGCGCTCCAGCTGTTCTCGGCCAAACTCGCTGGGATACACTATGACTGATATTATGCGGCCTTCAGCTGGCGCGAAACTCTCTGCAACGGCCATGATATCGACGGCACGGATATTATCCCAGTCGAGATTGACAGCCGCGAGCCGTGACGATACCTCACCCATAGGCACTGCTTCTTGCGACGGAGTATCTGGCAGCTGAGCCTCCTCAACATCCACGTCCTCGTCGTCATCATCGCTCTCAGACTCGGACGATGAGAAACCTCCTCCTCGGGCAGGATCGTACTTCTCATTCGCCTTGGACAGTTCTTTCTGCACAGCTTTATCGTCGTCTGCTTCGTCACTATCTTCGCCACTTGTATCCTCATCCTTTTCTAGGGTGTACAGCCGCTCCAGCTCCTTCTTCCCTGCGCCCTTGTCGATTTTCCGTCCATACCGATCGACGCTAGATTTGCGTGAGAAGTCGTCATCTTCGAGCACGCGCGCGAATCTAGAGTCGAGCTGTACACGCTTGTTCTTCTTCGAGGGCAGGCGAAAGCGCGGGTCGGTTTGGATGTTGGCAAAACGTGGGTCGGCTGCGAACATATGTGAGCGAATGCAGTACATATCGGGGGAGTGGGCTTACTGATGTTTGACACTGGCCTCGCGGCTTTGCCCTTGGGAGCTTTTTGCTTAATGGATGGCGCCATGGTTCTGCAATGGCAGCTCAGAATGAAGCCTGGAAGCGTGCAGTATTCGCCAACGCGAGAGACGAAGTAGAATGCCAAGATTTCGAAAAAATTCGAGTCCGTGCGTTATCTCCGGACATCTAATCTAAAGTCCTACCCGTAACTGCAGCCGGTACCGCCCTAAAGATATCGCCGGAACCGGCACGCCTGTATATGGACAACAAGTATAAGACTTCATTCATGATGTTCAAAATGGTACATACGACATCAGCAGCGAGCAGCATCTGTTCAGAACCTTGTTTTCACATTTAACAGCATATGAAGTCAAACCATGGCAGCTATACTTGACAGGAACAGCTGCGAATCTCCTCTCGCGTATCCTCCTGCAGAAACAGCTGTTATACTACTCGACTATCACGGCTACACGATCCAACTATGCGGCCAGAAGGGTATCAAGACAGTGTCCAAGGCGCAGATGATTCGGGAATGGGCTCTTGAGCGTGGCATCACAGTCTTGCACTCGCTTATCGATATCAACAGCAAACCTCCTCCTCAATGCAAGAACACAGTGCTGATCATGGGCAGACTCGACAGTATCAGAAATGACGCTGTCGCACTCTCAGAGCCTCCTGAGCTAGTCTCATCGCAGAAGGCAGGGCCTGTTGAGTACGTAGTCCTCAAGACTGCAGGCGTCGTGTCTGGCCTGAAGTCCGAGGGCGCAATGGACATATTGCGAGACAAAGGAATCAAGAGTCTAGTTGTGCTTGGGCTGGCGACGTCTGGTGCTGTTCTGCGGACGGCTATTGCTGCTTCTGACGAGGGTTTCGTGACGACTGTCATCGAGGATGCGTGCTGGGATCCAAGGGACGGCGTACATGCCTTCCTGATGGAGCAAATCCTGCCATCGCGCGCACATGTGGTGAGGGCGGACGAGCTCCTTGGTTCTTGGAACAAAGCTTGAGCCAAAGGGGGCGTACAGGGTCGGAAGAAAGGATGTCGATGAAGATAGAAAGATGAGGGTACGGCAACGTACATAAAGGATCGGCCTCGGCACAGTTAGCGAGACGCATGAATGGACGAATGAATGCTTGCAGGGACCCCTGACATAAACCCTATTTTATTCCCGCATCGAGACATGTCCTAATGATGTATGTATGGATGTATGGATGACGCTACCGATTGGCGGCAGCACCAGTCTGGTCTCGGTCTGGGGTCTAGGTCTGGGGAAGCTTCATAAACGGGCCAACTGCTCGCGTGCCCCATCATTTGGTCCCAACATCACACCGCTTCCTTGTCCTCTGCCAAATACCCATCACCAATCCTTCCCTCAACTCCATCAGCACGAATTCTCACCAGACATACCCAAAATGCCGTTCAGTACGCTTGTCAAGTTCGTATCCTTGCTCCGCTACCCCACTCTTCTTAATGACCCCCAATATGTCTGCCAAGCACTGACAAACGATCCAACAGTCGTCGCGCCCTTGCATTTTTCGGAGTCGTCTCTCTCGGCGGGTCATACATGCTTATGAAGACACGGGCAATCACTGCGCAGAGGGAGCAGAGGCAGGTAGGCGACTACAGCGTATCGACGACAAGATCGGGTGAGTGGCGAAGCACAGGCGGCACAGACTCCGCAGACAAAGTGCTGGCTGACGCTCGTGCAGGCGGAGGCATCTGAAGACATTGCCACAGTCGAACGCCAACCGGCTGGTAGTAGAAATAAGAGGATGTGATGGTTTATGACTTAAATGGCGTTACGATATCTGCACCCGCGAGTGCTTGCCCCGTTGTTGGAGCGGAAGCGAAAACAGGCTGAAGTTGTTCACGCACAAATTGGCGAACATCTCGAATAATGGATTATGCTATTTATCTGGGGTATCTTGGCGTAATGTAGTCGGTCTGTCGCTCTCGACAATGGAATTGGGACAATATAATCTTGATATATCATCTGTTGTATGTCTATTGTATGAACAAGGTGGTGGCTATTCTACATCCAGCATCCCGGCAGGCTCTTCTATAAATGCAAGGGATTCATTGTTGGTGCGATTTTGGGCGGTAATTACAGCTGGTTCAGACAGACAATTATTAAGCCAATATAGTGCGCATAAAAAGGGTTCAAGGCATCGTCGCGAGTACGCATTTCTATTGATATGGTCCTCTCTCTCGTATATCGTATCCTCCGAGCCCCGCGACTCTCATCCCTACTGCAGATCGGTACGTGCAAGATACCCGACTATTAGCCAACGTTAGGCCACATCCATGGAAAAGTGGAATTTAGGCTAGTGTACCTTCTCGCATACTCTGTCTTGCTTCGTACATGAATTCGTATTCGTACGTTCTTAGCTCACGAGAAGTGTGCAGGCTACGTCATCATCTGCTGTATACAAAGTTCAATGCGATGGAGACGAGGCCGCGCCAAACCGAACTTGGAAGTGAACAGGCGCAAAAGCAGAGAGTGAAGTGGTAAACAAACAGCTACAACGTATAGAGTAGCACAATAGTGGGGCAAATGGCAGGGATGGAGGGGTATTGATCACGAAAACTCTGTCTATAGGGCTGAAACGGTTCGCCGAAGGAGTTTGACAGGCCCGATGCGGATAGGCGAGTTCGGATGTGGACTAGCGCGGAATAAATGCCCCCCAGATTGCAGATTGGTCAAAGCTCCAGCAGCTCCCAGCTTCAGCTTCGCGCGCTTTAACATCTTCACCTTCAGCAACATCACCAACTTTCTCTTCCATCCCATCTTTCTTCAAGGATAAAACATCAACACTTTTTCTTCTTCAACTACTCTTCTCGTGAAACTGGAAAAGCATCTCTCATCTTTCTTTCGTGACTGTTCGTGCCTCTCGCACGCAACATGTCTTCACCAACCTCTTCTCCAATGTCTACTTCCAAAAAGCGCAAGTTTGACGAACGCCTGGCCGAGTCTAGCACCGCAAACGCCAATGCACAAGCTTCAAGTGTCGTAGCTACTGATCCCACCACCATCACTGAATCCGAGTCCAAGTCCAAGTCTGGGTCTGAGTCTGAATCTGAGTCTGAGTCTGAATATGAATATGAGCCCGAGCCTGACGAGGGCCAGTCACCTCGCAATTACCTTCCAGTAAGCCAATGAAACTTCAAAGATCTGTTCCTAGCTAGTGTCTGAGCTCACACTTTCCGCAGATAACACAAGGTGTCCGCTCTCCTACCCGGACCGTACCCGCTACTCGCGCCCGCCCAGTCAACCGGGCCAGCTATTTTGCTGTGCCAGCTTCTCTTCGTCCTGCAAATGTGCTCGGCAGGGTCAGAGGTCTTCTCCCTCCTTGGTTTCGCCGCCAGAGACCAGTTCAAAGGCCTCGTCCTCAGACACAGGTCATTCTCGTGGGATCTTTGATCAAATCTACGAAAAGGGTCGCTCTTGATGTTTCTCGCCCTTCAGCTCATCCATTTGTACCTAATTCACTCCCTGAGAGACCACGGCAAAGCATCCAAGCGGGTCCATCCAATGCCCAGCTGCAACATGATGTTGTCATGAATGAAGCGGGTCCGTCAAATGCCCAGCTGCAACATGATGTTGACATGAATGAAGCGGGTCCATCAAATGCCCAGCTGCAAAATGACGTTGACATGAATGAAGTAGCTCTGTCAAACGCTCAGCTGCAACATGAGTTCGACATCGCTCAAGCCAGACCGTCCAACGCCCAGCTGCAACATGATGTTGACAGTACTCAAGCGGGTTCGCCAAATGCCCAGCTTCAACATGTTAATGACAGTACTCAAGCGGGTTCGCCAAATGCCCAGCTACAACATGATGTTGACAACACTCAAGCGGCTTCGTCAAACGGCCAGCTGCAACATGATGCTGACAGCGCTCAAGCGGCTTCGTCAAACGGCCAGCTGCAACATGATGCTGACAGCGCTCAAGCGGCTTCGTCAAACGGCCAGCTACAACATGATGCTGACAACACTCAACCAGGACCGTCAAACGGCCAGTTGCAACATGATATTGACAGCGCTCAACCAGGACCGTCAAACGGCCAGTTGCAACATGATATTGACAGCTCTCAAGCGGCTCCATCAAACGACCAGTTGCAACATGACATTGAGCTCGATGATCGCAATGATTATCTCGACGACACTGCAGGCACGCAAACCTGGTGGCGCGCTGCTGTCAACGAGGAGACGAGTGATGATGAAGCTTCCATCAGGCCTTCATTCGGACGTCAAGGTCAAGTAATTCCTCACGTTCTCCCAGTCGCTGCCATCTACAAGGCGGCCAGGCGCGATGTTGTGAAGTCCCTCCAAAGCCGGCGTTGGCCAATGGGCAGACCTACTGAGCACGCAATCGAAAGCCGGCTCAAGGATCGCATCTTTCAATTGATTACTCGTAGGAGATTGCTCTTGCCTGATGAAGACAATCCAGCAAAGCTGCGGCACATTGAACAGAAACGCCTGGAGCGCAACGCAAGAATCATTGCATCATTTGGCAACGCGACCGAGATGCGCATCAAGCACTCTGTAGCTCACCGCCGTGAGTTTGTTGACAAACTAATTGCAAATGAAAAGATCCGATCCGACGAGCTTCTTGCAGAGGAAAAGAAGGTCCTCGGCTACCATTGTTATGAACATTTCAAAGAGTTCATCGAGAGCTGCGATGACCAGAAAATAGCTTGGAAGCCGAAAAACACGACTACAGGTTGGTGCGACTTTTCTTTACGTCAACATCGAATGGATATCCCGGATTTGCTCCGCAGGGCATATGTCCCAGAAGATTTCAGATCCAGCTCACCATTTCATATGTCGACCCGCGGCAATGCAGCTACTCACAGAAATCCAGCACCCATCACTCCCGACGTGTCTGCTATTTCCCAAATTCCCAAGAACACTGTCATCGTTGAATCACAATCCCAAGATCTGTCGACACTCGATGATGCCCCCGAAGTCACACCAGTACAAGTTCGAAGAACCTCCGCTAGTTCTCGTCCTCGAGGTATCCTCAAAAAGCAGACCCCACTTGTCAAGAAGTCGCTTGTATGGAAACAGAGTGCGCTTCACGGCGGTGTCCAAGCTCAACCCAAGCATTTTTACAAAGATTTCGCCATCAATCGCGATCCCAGGAAGGGAAAGAAAGCAGACGGAATGCATCTCCCTCCACATCTCCGACACCCTCGAGAGCCCAAGCCTGTGGATACATCCCTCCTCTCCATGCTCGGCTCTGATCTGCAGTCAAGCCCCTACCAAGCTTCCATCCTGCGCGACAGATCCCCACGAACCGCTGCTCAAGATGACTCGGTCGTTGAAGTGGCTCGTGCCTCGCTTGGCGGATGGGGCCTTGGCACCAGCACAACAACCACCAATAGGCCCTCTCGGCCCTCCGACCTCGACCTTTCCGGCTTCATATCCAATCCGGCAGATCCACCTTCAAAGGAAGACATTGACGCCCTCGAGCCGTCTGAATCTTTCTGTCGCTCGGTCATCGACGCAAGGGCTGCAAAAGCTTCCGATGAAGCCGTTCGTGAGATCATTGAAGATCTCTGTCTCGAGTACGCGTGCAACGACATCAAGCGACACGTCAAAGACAGTCAATTCCTCACCACGCCAGCACAAGAAAGTCGCATGATCAAGGAACGCCAGGCTGAGCTCATTCGATACGCTGTCGAGAAACTTCCTCTTGCCCGACAAAGGGCACAGAAGGCCATGGAGCCTGAGCGCAGCTCGCTTACAGCCACTGAAGCTGCTGATCAAATGCATCACAGAATCGCTATGGAGGCTATCACCATGGCTATGCACAAGTATGCTGCGATCAACGATGAAGACATCCATTTCCAAGAGTCAACAATGTTGCAGGACTCTAGACTCTTCAACGACTCGACCATGTTTGAAGGTAATGAGTCTACGGCGTTTGGAAATTCCACCATCATTGAAGGATCTTCCATGATGCCGGCCTCATTCCTCGAAGATACTGTCGACGGCCCTTCAGCATTCGACCAAGCTACAACGCATGAAGAATCTACCATTATTGGTGGTGTTTCAAAGCTGTCGGCCCCCGCTGTCGAAGAACATTCCGACCACCTCTCTGAACTCATCGAGGAAGCTACGGCGCGTGATACATCCACTTTTGTGAATGAATCCTCCATGATGCCGGCCTCCGATTTCGATGCATATGAGCATGACAGCACTGCCGAAGATAGCACGTTTGGTCCGTCAGACGACTTCCTTGCAAATGAGTCTTCCTTCGTACATGGCCCCGAGCCTGAAAATGTCAACTCCGACGACATTGATCAGACGAACGTCAGCTCCTTTGAACATCTTCCCCGCACCTTTCGTCACACTTTACCTCAGATATCAGACGACCCCGACTCCAATGACGACTCCGATGAGAACGATGATGATCATCATCATGATGAGAAGAACCAGGTTACAATCATTTCAGACTCTGACGACTCCAGTTCAGTCAATGGAGCTGGTTCAGAGGCCGAGTCCCAGTCAGAAGGCGAATCGGAAGAAGGAAGTGAAGAGAGTGCTCAATACTCCGACCAAGAATCAGATACAGCATCAGACGGTCTTGAGCCACCATCAGACCAAGTCATCATTGACATTCCTCCAAGTCTTACCGCAGTCATAGACGCCGCAGTCTCCAATGGTGTAAGCTCTGTGACAACCCGCACCGCCAACTTCACGGATGCAGCTCTTGCTCGCATTGTGCCGAACCTGTTTCCTGCCAGAGGAGCAGCAGGTGGGTCGTCAGCCTGGCTAAATGACGACAGCATTGACGACTTCCTCGCCCTACTCGTCAAGCACTCGAACGAAAAGCAGGGCTTCAACCCCGACGACCGCGCTGCCACCAGTGTGCCACCCCTCGTCGCCTTCTCGTCCAAGTGGCACGAGGTTATCAAGGCAAAGGGCTACACTGGTGTGCAGCGCTGGTCTCGTCGGGCAAAGGTGTCCGAAAAGCGCCTTTTAAAGGCAAAGATGGTGTTCTTCCCCATCAACCAAGGCGGTTCCCACTGGACCCTCCTAGTCATCAACGTGTCCGAAAGGACCATTGAGTTCTTGGACTCGTTGGGGGGTACCGGTGGAGCCGTCTTGGGGATGGCGAGGAAGTGGTTGGAGGGGGAGTTGGGGGAGGAGTACGCCGCCGCCGACTGGGCGGACGTCACCCTTCGCAGTGGTCAGCAGCACAACTCCAGTGACTGCGGCGTGTTCACCTGCATGAACGCGCTGGCCATTGCCAGGGGGGACGTTCCCCGGGAGGTGGTGGTAGGCTCGAGGATGGGGGCTGCCAGGCAGCAGCTCGCCGCAACCTTGTTGGTGGGCTCCTTCAGTGGAGTCCTGGCGTGGTGATTCAGTCCGTTTGTATGGACTCACCTTCAAGGTTGTGGCAGCTGCTGGCCTGTTGTATTTTTATGTATTGCATAGCGTGGTGTTGGGGCCTGCCCCGGGATGGGGCAGGCGGAACGGTTACATAGATACCCGAGGGCCCGGAATGGCCATAAACTACCACCGCGACCGGCGAGTTGCGTTTTAATGATCATATTGTACCATCACCATCACAATTGGTGTCTTCTCCTGCCTGTGCTGTGACGTGCTCTGTGATGCAAAGTGGGTGTGTGCCATCGCCGTGAGTCTGTCCTTCCGTCCAACGTGTATCAAGAGGCAAGGAGAGTAGATCACAGCCACTACTACAGCGACGACACCACAATGAGTAAGCCTATCAAGATCTCACAAACATTACACTACAGTCAGCACACTACTTCCCGCGTAGCCAGAAAGTGCAAGTCTCGGATTTCCTACTGCATCTCCAAAGGCCCCCGCCGCCCTACATGTTCATTGTAGAAGGACAGAGAGCGTAGTGTATACAAAGGTTTTGTTCACTTTCGGTTTTGGGGTCGTGTTTGGGGAGATATATATATATAGGTACAGATGAGATGAGTGGGTTGTTCTTGGCTTGCATGCGCGTAGAAGGGAGGAGGGAAGGAAGGAGGGAAGGAGGGAAAGAGGGAAGGAACAAGTGAGGTATCTATGATATTGGTGGGTTGGATAGGATAGGATAGGATGGAGAATGGGGAGTATGGGGGTTTTAAAGTTTAAAGTTTTGAGATTTTGAGGTTTTGAGATTTTGAGGTTTTGAGATTTTGAGGTTTTGAG